AGGATGCAATGAGCTATGTGGCAGAGGTGAGGTTCATATGCTGCATACGTTTGTTGTTGTTTTGTTCAAGTAAGTGTATTTTGTTCAAGTGGAAGAAAACAAACAAAATTCATTGCTGGTCACTGACAGTTGGTAAAAGAAGTCCTCTTGTCTCGGTCTTGCAGGGGGAACGTAGAGGCTCTCTGGAGTTTATCCGCAATGATACTGCGTTCATCGACTTCAAGAAAAAATTTGTTGACGACTTTGCAGATGTCATGCCTGACATCATGGCTGACATGTCTGACGATTACGGTGCAATGTCCCCTATGAGGTGAGCAAACCATACATAATTTACACCACTATTACAGGGGAGCTAAAACTGCAAGGTAGTCTAAATAGAAGACCGAATACGATTAGCTGGCCGAGAACTCCCGAGAACATCTAACATTGGGATGAGAGGCTAGTAAGCTACACCACTGTCCACCTATAAGTTATTCATCATGCCTCTTTGGCCCCATGGCATTAAACATTATGAGCCTGAAGCTCCGTGCGGGACCTGGAAGTGTTCACAAACGTGTTTTGTACTACACATTGTTGTTGTCAAAGGATGGATTGGCAATTCTTTCATAGCTGGTGGTTGTTTCTCAGCCATTGTGTTTGCAAAACTTCTGAAGCTGCATGTGGAAGATGTTGAGCTTGACTGAGTGAGAGCATTCGCGAGCAGGGATGCTGAGCAAAGTGTGCATGAGCAGTAATTGATACTGCGTTAGAGGTTGCTCTTGGATCTGATTGGTTCTTTCGTCTCAGGCGCGGTGGATTCTTGACACACTATTTCCTGGTCATTGATCTCAGCTCATAGTAAGCTCATGCAGGTAGAATGTGTCCGACTTGACAGCGCCGTTTTTATAACCTGCCCCTGCAGTTGCCTGCAGCTCATGTTAGACTATCAAGTCAGCGAAAGTCAGCTGCAGTCATCTTGGATGCACCTAATGAACATCTACTCACACAAGATCTGCACAGACACTGCCACCTGGTGACCACAAGCAGTCAAAGCATCTTTTCACAGTTGGAAACAGCACTGACCATCTAGCTCCAATTATTCACAAGAAGCATGATATTAGAGCTGTACTTCAGTGTGCTAAAGACATGAAGTAACTGACATAATGCTTTTTCTGCTGTAGAAGAGACCCTGTACCATCAGTGAGCCTGGAAATGCAGAAGCAGAGCATGAATGGTGTGAGGGAAACAGAGGATGTTAACTCTCACCACCTGCTGCAGCAGCATCTGTACAAGGGCAGGAAACAGGTAATTATTTTCAGTCACCTATGTAGGCTATGTAAACAGAAAGTGTACACTTTCATATCGCTGGATGAGTCAAGACACAAAATTGATGAAACAGAGGCCAAGATATCCTAATTTTTCTTCCCGACTATGCCCCAGAAATGCTGTATCCTTTTATTAGATACCACCTGCCTCCTAATTGCCCACTTCTTTCAAACGCTCCACCCCCCACTTTGTAATGCATGATAACCCATATCAGGGATATTTTTCCTAACTTTAGAAGCCACAGAAGACATCAGCTATACAACTCACAGGTTGAGTGGTAGGCCACTCCTCATGACCAGTAAACTGAACTTTGTGTGTAAATTTGTCCCTTTAAAAAAAAACTATTTTTAAAGCTCATGATGAATAATGGGTTACAGACTTCTTCTCTCTTATCAGTTCTCAAATTCTCATATTGACTCTTCCAATTTTTGTTTCTTGTTTTCTGGTTTGAAGCACCTGCACAGGTACAGCCGGAGCCATTTTGATGTCAACACAGATGAAAATGAGGTGCAGGAGATCTTCCAGAGGACCATGAAGAATCGTTTGGAGTCGTTTAAGTCTGCAAAGATGGGAGTTGCTCCACCCAAGACAATTACCAAGCACACAAAGAAAGACCAGCAGAAAAAGGTCAGAGCCTGAGAATTTATTGTTATTAGACAATATATATCATAATATCCATGGAGTTTTACACAATAACCAAAGGGCTGGGTATTGAACTTAAGTACTTTTTAGTAGTAACAAAAGGTGTTCATAGCATTAAGTATCAAAACTGGGAAGTAGTGAAAACTGTAATCAATTATCTGTTCAGATTTGTAATCTTGGAAACTTATTGTCTGATCCGATGGAACCTGATTTAAATCATAATTTTGCCAATTTCATACTATTTAATTTTCTCATTGTGTTTAGATTTAGAATTTGAGCATTTTGGTTTTGCAGAAAAATTATTATATTTCTCAAATAACGTATTAAAAAGTAACATTTTCATACCAAATACCACCATACCAAAATGTATTACTATTGCAAATACCCAGCCCTAAAATGTGCATTACAGCTTTGTTCTTCAAATTTAATATCTTTTTAAGATGATTTACAAATAAACTGACTTCTCTACCTGCTTCAGATGCCAAATGGAAAATCAATGGACAAAAGTAAAAGCTACCACTCTGCTGATGAAGGTTTGTATTTCAGTGTAAAAAACATGTTCATAATGAGTTGTCCAAGTGCATAATGAAAAAGTGCAATTTTAAAAGCAATTTCTCTTTTTTTCCCTAGATTTCGAGTTCTCAGAGGGAGACAGCACCTCTGGCTATGAGGCCTCAGCCAGTTCATATCCCATGAGGGTCAACCACAGAGCTGGAGGTAAAACAAATCCGCTGTCTTTAACCAGTAGAGGAAGAAATACTCCGATCTTAAGTAAACTTGGTTGTAAAAGTACCAATACAAGGTTCTAAAAATACTCAGTTAAAAATATTTTATTCAAACCCACTCAGGTGAAAGTACAAAAGTATTATATTCAAAATGTACTTTAAATATAAATAGTTATTTTTTGTCTCTTGTGACTGATATTATTTATGATGTCTGCTGTATCTAGTTCACTGTAAGATGTTTATAGTCAAATTAACAGTAACTTACTGGCAACAATTATCCAGTAGTTGCTGTATTTCATTCTACGGTAAAATTACTATAAAACCAACTACAGTAATGTTTAGCATACTGTAAAATAAAGTACAGTATATGTACTGTTATTTTCAAGTACAGTATTATACTGTTATTTTTTGGCATACTGTATAATGAAATAAAGTAATATACTGTTATTTTTTGGCATACTGTATAATCAAGTACAGTAATACACTATTATGAAAATATTACTGTATTTACTGTTTTTTTACAGTACTACTGTATAACCAATAAAATACTGTTATTTAGCTGTTGATGTAAAAGAAGAAAAAGGACATTTGAAGACTTAACTGCACAAAAAGCAGATCGTTTATTGCACAAGTTGAACAATACAGTCATAATAATACATATATAAAGAGATCTGTTTTGAAACTGATAGTCTAACAATGTCGTAGGCAGTCAGTAATCAATGTATATAAAGGGATTCTCTGAAAATATTTTCCCATAACTAGCCACAGAGATTAGGAAAGCCAGACTGAAGATAAAAACATACTGAAACGTTTTTCCATCCAACTAGTAAAGGATTTGTGTCATCAACCCTCTTGCCCACATGCTAACAGGGCATTCTCCATAAAGATCATCAGAATAAATAACAACTAATCAAAACTCCAGCAAATTGGCTCAACATTCAACCAGGCCACCGTTATGTCAAGACACATTGCAATACACAAAAGGTTCGGTACTCATTTTGAGCCCCTCCAAAGGGTCAGATAAGAAGAAAAAACAGTTGCTGCTACACAGATTTGAATTGATTTTTTTTGGATGTTTCTCTAAAAACACGTTTCTGTGAAACATTTGATCATTATATATCTTTGAGTTATTTGATATGAAATCATGTGAGAAGTTTAGAGGGGAAAATTGCTTTTAGTGAACTGCTAAAGCATTAGAAATGTGACAAGAGGCTTTGTAGGGTTAGGGTTAGGGGTTAGGTGGTTTATAACCACTGGTTTAATCTTAAAAATGTATTATATTTAATGTAAAATCTCAACCTGAAAAGTAACTAGTAAATATAGCTGTCATATAAATGTAGTGAAAGTACAATATTTGCTTCTGAACTGTAGTTCAGTAGAAGTAGAATGTAAAAAAAAAAGGAAATAAAAGTACTTCAAAGTTCTACTTATGTAGGCCTACTTTAGAAGTAAATATACTTAATTACTTTCCACCAATGTACACTCACTCAGTGTCTTTCTTTCATTCAGGTGGAATTGAGAATCCAGCATTCATGCCAGACCTGGACGTCATGCCGCAGGTGCAGATCCCTCCCTGGCTGGCGGAGGCCGAGCCCGTCAACAGTATGGTGGCTCCTTCGCAGCAAGCCCAGGCGAGGCTGCCGTGGACGCCCAGCACACTGCGCCGCCTGGCTCCTCTTCGCACCAGCACTCGCTCCACTGACTCCTTCGCGCTGGCTGACACTCCTGCCACGCAGCAGACAGACGAGCAGCTGCCGCCACCTCCACCTCCTTCTCATGGAGACGGCGGCCAGTCATAGCATCATGCCACCCCTCCCTTATCTCCCTTTAACCTGGCTGCCATAGACACAAAACTTTGCACCGTCTACTCTCAAAATATTGACTATAATGTTTTCTTTTTCGTGCCATTGTTTAATGTTAGTCCAGAATTTCTAGACAAAACATTCACAATCCCATAACCTTTGTGCTCTTGAGGCAGTTTCTGTTGTTGCTCTAACTTCACCCTTCACTGAGCACATAAAGCGTGAGGTCCTGTATGCACAGTGGCATGTTATTTACCAGCACATGTTGAACATTGTCTTATTTCCTCCTCTGGTTCAGAGTAAACCATTCAAACTGTGAATGACTTGAACCCAGAATGTGATGCAGAAGCCGTTATTCAAAAATGCTGATAGTTATGAATTGTGTTATTTAATTAGTGTGTTACAGAAATAATTAATCTATAATCTGAATATAATGTTTTTGTGTGTTTTCTCACTTGTCTCTACCTTAGTACTTGAGGGTGAATATTAAACTTGAAGAATAAGACTACTGTGAAAATGTCACATGTATGATAAAGACAAATTATATTTATTCACAAATGAAATTTGTTTTTATGTAGACATTTCAAATCTGTGCACAAGCGAATTACAATTCACGTACCTTGACTAACTGACATGATTTTGAACATTACGCACTTAAAATATGGTTTTAAAAATAATAATGAAGAAAAAAGTCTTTATGGCGTTGGTTACACAGTCATTTCATCAATTATTAGAGCTGCGTTGATAAATGATTAATCATTTATCCCCCCCAAAAAGTAATTTTATATTGTAAAATAAAGACCTATGAGTATTGTTAGAGCATGCACATTTGGACTGCAGATGAAAATGAGCCTTTCAACAAAATCCTGCACAATTACATCAAACTGATGTTAATAAATGAGTAGTATTTATAAAAGTAAGGCAAATAAAAAGAATCCGCCTTCAGTTATCCTGGCCATTTTATGACCACCTAAAATAACCATCAGATTAATAAATAATAAAAATAATAGTTACAGCCCTAATATTGATCGATGTGGAGCCAACCAAATTACTCTTTTTATATCCACGTGACACTTGTTCACATAACCCATTATAAATAGTCCATTTCTGATGTTTCCAGTTGTTTTGTGATGTAGTCTAATAGAATTTCTTCATTTCCAGAATCCTTCAGGTAAAAATGTGATCCGTCAAGCATCCTGACTGTGAAATCTCCTGATGTGATGTCTTTCCAAGCTGTTGAATACATTTAATTACAATTAATAATAATATGAACAGAGAGACAACTTACACTGAGATGATTCTTTCATTCATTGTCTTCAGCACAAACAGAGGGCACATGGAGTTCTGTACTAACATACATTTATACTATGATTTTATGTGAACACCTACAGATACTCTCTATTATCTGATATGCATTTTAGAGTAATATTAGTATTTTTCCAGTGGAGTTCAAGTGTCTTTCTCTAGGACACTTTCTGATGTGCACTGTATGTATTTGTCATCTAAAATAAATTTGTAGAGATGTTCAGTGATTTCTGATATTCAGCATCCAGAAACCTACATAAGCCGTATGTGTAATAGGGTGGAGTGAGTGAGTAATAATCACAGGACTGGCCTTGTAAGTCATGAGGAATGTCCTCCTTTCCATCAAAACATGTGACTGGGCAGGAGAGGAATGGACTGTCTGGCTTGTTACACCTGTGGGAAAGTCCAACTCCAGTCAGTACAGACATTCAATCTGAATCTCACAATTATTTAATATTAATGGTTAAATACAGATTAAATTAAGCAACAAACTTGCCACCCACTTGTAGTTCTCCACAACATGTAGGTCGGCCTTGAGGGCGGGAAGGAAGAGCTTCAGGACTTCAGGGTTTGCCAGCAGCTCAGGGGGTGTTCCTCCAATCAAAATCAACCACTTGAGAAAATCGTCATCAGATAAGTCGCTTCTCTTTGGGGCTTTGATGCGTATCTCTGACTAAAAGACAACATATAAATGGTATATTATCAACACCAAGTTCTTCTCTTCTCTTAAAGAGGCTTAGCTATAAGTGGTAAGTTGTTACTATCTATGACCGCAGACCTTCATTGGCTAAGTCTGGAATCTGAAAAAAAAGAATGCACATGAACAACAGCATGCAGGATTTATACTTCTCAGTTTACAGGTTGTTTTAGTCTTATGTGCCTGTTATTAAAGACTTTATGGTGTCTGAGAACGTCTTTGAAGATTTTCCTCCATACATTATCAAAGATATTTAACGGAGACATTGTTAAAATTAGCTGCGAGTCAGCTGGAGAGGTGGTTTAGAAAATGGAATGGATGGATGTTAATATAGGATGTGTGATTATATTTATTGAACTTGGTTCTTTTTCTTCAGGCAGTGTTGTACTAAAGTGGACTAATGACTTACCTCACTAAATAATTATCAACATTCTTTCAATTAGGCAAATTTATGGCTTCACAATGCAGATTTAATTACTTGAACATGAATAAATGTATGCATTTTAGCTAGCAATTGTTTTTACTTGCAGAGCATTATAATGAATATTATTCTCATTTTGAATTATAGAAAACTTTAAAACTAAATCCATGGAAAAGAAAATATTATGGGGTCTGTGGTTAAGATTTTATAATGTGTAGATTAATTACAAGTAGGGCTGGGCAATAAAACAATAATGATAATTATTAATTAACAATATAATTTTAATCAATAATATAAAAAATGTTCAATATATCCTAAATAAATGTTTTAATTAACTAATTTGCACTTAATTATTCTATTAAGATATTAATTTGTTGAGGAAAAGGGACTAAAAAAAGATTTACTGATCATATTTGTTGAAAAAAGATTTTATTATAATGATTTTGAATGTTCTACCTCAGATTTGTTAAGTGATCCACTGTTAGGCGTTGTGTTTGTCACATTCTTACCACAAAGAAAAGTTTTAAACCAGAATTAACTACCTGGGTTCTTCAACTTTCACTATAGAGCAAAAATCAGCCTTTAAACTTGAAAGAAATAATGATTTGACATTTATCATGATAATTTCCAATATCGAATGATATGAAATGTTTTTATCGTGATAACATTTTTGGTCATATCGCCCAGTCCTAATTACAAGCCTTCATTATTAAGGTGCCACTATCTGCAATCCTTTAAGACAGTTCTACATACTTGTCTACAGGCTTTAAAATATAAACTAAAATCTGAACATTAGTACACTTTATCGACAGAGTTTGCAGACCGTTTGATGACTTTTATTATTTTGCTTGTAATGTACCCAGTACTGCTTAGGTGCAGCTTATATTGAGTGTATATCCTGCTTAATGTAATAACTCACATAAGGTGCAGAAGCCCCAGACAGGAAGATGTGAACTGGTTCAAGGTTGTGCACTCTCTTCAGATCATCTGCCACGGCGAAACTTGTGAAGGCACCAAAACTAAAACAGATCAGGATAGTGCAACCGTTAACAGATTAGAAAAAGTTGTAAGTGGTGGAATAAAAAGGAAACATAAAAAAGTGAGAGGAGATGATTGTGCTGTCATGAGAGATGGGAGGTTACTTATGAAGGCCCTATTATTGATCCTATCCTAATATCATACCTGTGCCCAAACAGAGCAAATGGCTTCTCTTGCAGCACTGGTAACAAAACACCAATAACCTCATCCACAATCTGCTGCATGTTCTGAAAGAACGGCTCTTTGGCTCGACTCTCTCTGCCCGGAAGTTTTACAGAAAACACTGAAAGTGACAGAAAAGGTGTTTCAAGTAAAAATATAACCAAACTTTAATAAGTGTAGACTTTGTTTTCACAGTACATGGGGCATTTTGAAGTTCCCATAATTCCTTTTTTAGTTGATTTACTCTAGTTAAAATAATACAGCAGACTTTATTGTCTTCTAGGGGAAATTCCTTTGCAGAGCACTATACACATCTGAAAACAGCACACAATAACAACAAACAATGACTGTACACTCTCAAGCCAGTTCAGCGAGGCCTTTTTAATGCGGCTATGGCTGAGGGGGTTAGGCTTTTCCCAAAGCAAACCCTCCTGCACCTCAGTGCTCTGTACCTGCACCCAGTGGGCAGTAGGGTAAGATGGTGATTGAGTGGGTGTGTGATGTCCTGTGCTAATGAGGTTGCAATGACTGCAATGGCCTTAATGTTTAGTTCTGCTTAGAAATATTTACAAACATCTTTGAAATTGTGAAGAGTTTAAATGAACAGTGCAAAACGTATGCCTCTTCTTCCAGGCTCCTTACCTTCTATGGAGCTATTGAGGACATTTCCCCAGCGTGCATAGTGCATGGAGCCTCCACCTGCCCAGGGGAAGCAGATCAGCCTGGACACAGCATCTGGCTTTTTCTTGAAACAGTTGATCACCTTCTCCATCCTAATTTAACAGAAGGGCAAAGATCCAAGACTGATTCACATCTGCTGGGACTGTAGTTTATGCTCCACCTTCTGTTTAACGACATAACACGTGCAATTAGCCTAAAAGGAATGGTGAAAACATTTAGGGGCAATTATCCAACATGTCATGTCACACCTGTTTGTTGCAGGCAGCTCCATCAACTTCTCCCATGAAAACAGTGGAAATTCCTCATGCTAAAGTGTAGCGTTTCCTGGTTATTTTCTTCTATGGTTTATGCATGGAGCCAGTGTAAAATTTTACCCCTGGATTCTAGAGACATCTACAGCATGGAGTGTGTATGTCCATGGCAAAAGGCAAACAATTTACACTGTTATTTATAAGTTCATGTCATAATTTCGTGAAAACTTCTTATAATACCTGGATGGATATACCAGGACAGAAACGTTCAATATTTTAACTGCACGCAGTTATTTTAAGACCTGACGTAATAGCTGAGAAAAAAGTTTCTCGGAAGTGACGCTGTTTTCTACAGTTGGTATTTCCTGATGGGTTTCCCTCAGTGGAGGGAGGAGGAATGAGTAACAGCTTTGTCAAGTTAGACAAAATGAAACAGCGAAATACCGGAAAGTCCTGCAGTCAAAATTGTATTCAAGTAAAGTACTTCCGAAGCACTCAATGGTACTTTACAAGTGCATGTATTATTATGTACATTAAATTTTTGTTATTGTTATGATGCATTAAAGTCAAGTTGCAAGTATTTTCATGATTTTATCAAGTTGAGTCTAAAGTCTTCATATTTGTAACTCTAGTTTGACTTCAGTCCAAGTAATGTGACTTGATTCCGTCACTCTGGGTAGTTTATTGTATGCAGTGATCCCCAGTCTGAGGGGATCAAGAGTATACACAATTGGATAGCACAAAAAATATATATTTCTGCTGCACAAAAGTATGATATTTCTAATCTAAGCATTTTGTTTCCAAAAAATGTCTAAATAAGAAGGAAAAATCCGCTCTTGGTTGAACTGACCACCTCCAAGTGACATCTGCAACCTGTGATGAGGGATGAAGTCGATATAGCCCCATTTTAACATTTACAAGCTAATCAAGTGTTTTATATTTAAAATTTTAATCTGAAAAGCAACCACTAACTATGGATGTTAAATAAATGTGCTAGAATAAAAAAAATACAATACCCTCTGACTACTTTATTGTTATTTTTTGTGTTGTTCTTGCAAAGCTGCAGAACGTACAGAGTGCAAAACACATTTCCCTTCAGGCACAATAAAGTATATCTTTAACAAAAACTGCTTTCCACCACTGATTATCTGAGTGTGTAGAACCATAATAATCTGATAAAGTTATAAATAAAATACATAGCTCTGTAGCTCTAATATAGATGCTAAAACACCTCACGTCTTCGTTGGTCACGCTTTTGTTTTGAAGGAGTATTCCGGAAGTGTACTTTTCTATTACCGCTAGCTTTATTCTGGTGAGCGAGAGGGCGGTGAAGTGCAGATTTCAGACCGGTTTGTAGTCGAAATCGACGAGGACGCCGGGGTAGTGAACCCCTCATATCTGTTTGAAAAAGAAGAACACCGGATTGTCACATTAACTAACCGGGACGACGAATTTACACACTGACCGGGTAAATATTCACATCTGTCTTGTCTGTCGAGTTGCCAGTTAGTTGCTAGCTTAGTTGTCGTCGGCTAAAGCTAACTAACGCTGTTAGCTTAACGTTACCCACCGCCGCTAACGACTATCGGTGAAACTCAACCGACTCCGTCTGAACTGTCACAAACATTTCTAACACTGAACATAATCTTATGCTTCTTTCAGATACAAGATAAAGAACTTCAAAGGGCGGCAGCTGGGGACATTTTGTACAACTTTGAGCTGTCAGTTGCGGTAAGGCAAGTCGGGGGAGAGGACTTCCAGCCGAGGGGAACCCCAAGCGGCCCGGTTCCACATCAGCGACCAAAGCCGGGGAGCGGGCTGCCGCGTAGCCGGGGAGCGGCGTGTCGGCTAGCGGATCTGCAGTCAAGTTTTAACCGGCGCAGGGAGAAGTAATCACTGGGTGCCGGATCATCCGGACAGATACCTCATGAATGGAAATCGGAACAACAGGTGGGATCCCCAGACTAACGGCCATGCTGATCGTGCTTAACGGCGCTAATTTGGTGTTCAGATGCTGCACTTGAGTTATTTGCAGACTGTGTGCAGTGTTAGACACAAGTCTGATCCCCGTGATTGAGCATGTGGGAGCTGCAAGTGTGTTAAGTTGATCTAAATCGGCAACATTGATGTAAGAAAGGTGGCTGTGCTATCGTGGGCACTGGTGCTCAGATAGAAAAATTCCCATTTTCAGCTCCATCAAGTGTAATACACAGGGGTGGTTGTTTCTCAGCGGTGTTTCCCCGTTTTCCACCTTGGTGTGTGTGTGTGTGTGTGTGTGTGTGTGTGTCAAAGCAGTTTCGTGGGTTAGTTGTCTACGTCATTCTTATTCGGCTGTCAAAGGCAGGTGGTGATTCCGTCAGGTGTGCCTGATGCCTGAGAGGCTGGCTCAGTTTCAGAGATGTGTGTGTGTGTACATATCTGTTTGAAGGGCAGGCTTTGTCAACAACTGCTGCCATAGTTACCCCTAGCTATTGAATAATGTTCAGTTCACCGCTGCCTGTGTTAATTACAAATCAATTGAGCATGCCAGGGCATTAGTCAATTTACTTTGTTGCCATGGGGCACAATTTGTGAGTCACAGCTTGTATATTATTGATGCTGTGGAGGCCCGTGTTGGACTGGGAGGGGGAACAAAGGGTCAAACTGGTTCACTGAAACTCATTCACTTGTCACAAACTCCACCGATTTTTCACCTTATACGCACTACACAGTATTATCAGAGCAACATACATTTAAACATTTTAAAACAGTGTCAGGCTTTGATTAATGGGCTCATGTTTGTTTTGATCAAAACATAATTTCTGATTTATCAACAGTTTTTAAGGTCACTGTACTCTGCCAGTATTTGTGACATCTGTGTATTTCTTGAAAGTAGGGCTGCAAGTAACATTATTTTCAATATTACATAAATTGCCTATTGTTATCAATTAATTATTTTGGATATAAAGTGTCCAAAACCAGTAAATTTCCCATTCCAAATTCCCATCACAGTTTTCCAGAGCCCACTGTGATGTCTTTAGCTTGTTCTTTCTGGACAGCGGTCCAATAGATGAATCAGTTGTCAGAATGGTTGTTGATTAATTTTCTGTCGATAGACTAATCAATAAACGACTAAGTGTTTCTGCTCTAATTGAAAATATGGACTTGTCATATATGAATTGAGGGCAGTGTAATGTTCAGTGATTGGGATGAAGTGTATGTGCAAACTAATCTGAAATGATAAATTATAGGACACTGTGTGAACATGATGGTAAAAAAGATGTTGGAGCTATCTGTAGTTATTAAATGAATTCTTCATACATTTTTTTTTTTTTTTAACAGTAGTTTGAACTACACAAATCAGCCCTTGATTCGTCGTAAAATTCCTCTTGCAAATATCCCATGGCCATGTTTTGTGTTCTCACATTGTTTGTGTTATTTCACCTGTTTAAAAGTTGAAATTTTATGCATAAATTAAAAAAGCCACTTCCGTCAGTAATTTAAGAGATCACATTTTTGCCACATATTTTCACCACTCTTCATGCAGTTAATTATGGATCTGGTTTAGGGCTGCAACAAGCAGATATTTTCATAATTGAGTTAAGTAAGTGATAAGTGATTTTTTTTTTTTTACTACTTAAGTTAATCATTTAGATTTTACATCACATAAATCTTTTAAAATGCCCATCATAATTTCCCAGAGCTCAAGGTAATGGGCAAAACACAAAGATATATTAAGTTTATAATGGTCTAAAACAAAGAAAAAAAGTAAATCCTCACAATTGAGAAGCTGGAAGCTGAGAATTTTTCATCTTCAGTAGAACTAGATTTAACATTTTGCAGGCGTCTCTACGCACATCTGGAGTGTTTAATGAAGTCTGCGAGGTAGAGGAGATTAAAACAATTAAATTTAAAAATACCTTTTAGTCTCTAGCAGTGGTGTAGTGATATTAGGATTGTACAATATTACATCAGTGGAGTACTCTCCTAAAGTGTGTGGGTTGAATGTCAGCTCCGTGTGGGCTGTTACTGGTTGTTTGTATAATGAAGCAGCCTGATATGCGGTCATTAGTCTCTCCATTGTTGCTCGTTCTACAGTGAACCCTTGTGTTTTTGGGTCATTACTGGTGCCGTCAGTCTTGTGTCTAGTTAAGGATGTTTTCCATAATTCCTCAAAGAAATCTGAGGATGGATTTCTTTTGCTGTCACTTGTTGATTTACATTTCTACAGTTCTTGCATTAAAGGTTAAAAATGGAAAAGCAAAAATTCTACACGTGCTTGGCAGAGCAAAAAGAGTTATATTACAAGCCTGTATGGTTCATACACATGTATGGTATGGTACATACACTGTATAAAAGTAGTGGACATAGTCATTGTGATGTTATCCATTGGTTTGTGGACTGCTGTATTTAAACCTCGAGTTTGCCAATATGGCTGTCACCATCTTGATTTTTTGCAGCCAGCTGGACCGGACGTGACTATATTTGGACGAGATTGTGGAGCTAGCTAGCTTGGTTAGCTAGGTACATCTCTAATTCACGTTAACGGTGACTTTAACCGGAATGATAATTTTTGCTAGCGGCCGCCCTAAACCATACTCTGCTTTATGGTCTATTTTACATAATTTACTAAATGAACATCATGCTATATTGAAGAAGACTTGAAACATGCGATTGAGACCGTAGGAAATGAGGGAATAAATCATGAATAGTCGCCACCTGCAGGCCGTTAGAGAGAATGCAGGTTTAAGGGACATTTGCCTCACGTTTTAGACCCGAGGGTTCCCCCTTAGTTCATATGCAGACCGGTGCTAAATAGGCGTAAATAGACAATGCACTGGAAATGACGAATACTGCATCGCAAGTAACCACCAAATACTGAAAACACAGCTATATCATTGGCATCGAAATATGAATATCCTAAAAATGAAGACAAAATAATGACCACGCAAATAAAGTACAATTTACATAGTGTTTTCATCACCGGACCTCCAAGATAAATGAGATAAATCTGTGTGCACCTGTTCCTCCTCTTGTCAGCACGCCTGCAGTTGCTATGTAGAAACTATAGCAACATGGGCACCATTGCCATGTGAACGCCACAGAAGGGGAACGGACCTGGGGACGCCTCGGCAGAAAGTGCGGCCCTTTTACTGAAAGATGACTCCTTAGGCAGGTTCAGGGTCAGCCCCTCCACTCTGACAGGAGCTCTCTGCTGCAGGCTGAAACGGTTAAATACTCTCCACCCACAACTTCTCTGCCGCAGTCAGTTTACGGCCACGTTCATCATTACTGTTTTTCAGCAGTACAATTGTTTTTCTGTCATTACAACAAAGTGCACCTCTTGCTATTTTAACAGCCTGAGCTGAGTGTACATGCAGACTTTGTCATGTTGTCATTGTGCGTGTGTGTGTGTGTGTGTGTGTGTGGATGCTCTGAGTCACATTTGTGGAAATTGTGTGGTTGTGTGATGTCACTTTTATTTTTTTTTATCACTGAGTACTTTCCAGTTTGGCATTTATGAAAATTGGTGTCAAATTGGCGTGGTGTCACCCGCCTACTTTTCCTCCTGTCTGGCGAAGGCCATGTCAGTAAGGAGAAATCTTTGAACGATGAGCTGGTCTTCATTTAAAATGTCACCAAACTCTGTAACCTTTCATACGACCGTTATCAGATTTATGTGACTCGCTTGTTTCAGTTTTGTCAGTTTGATATGAGGCAATCTTTAACGTCCCTGACCATCTTCAGTCCTAGCATCCACCCTCTGCTCCTTATTAACCACATCCTTCCTCCAGTTTGTCTTCCGCTCAAAGCTCTTAGCTCGTCTGAAACGGTAGATCACATTCATGATTGCTGGTTTGGGTTATGTTTTAGCTATTTTGGGACATTGAATATTGGGACGTAAATGCTGATGGTGGATGAGGACTGGATTTTGTAGGATTTTCTGCTCTGTTACCAAAAGAGTTGGTCATGGAAAAATGCACCAAACTCCAGGAATGAATTGCATTGAAAAACTGAAACTGCCAGTCTTATATATAGGGCTGGGCGATACGGCCAAACATGTTATCACGATAAAAGATCTCATATCATTCATATGGATAATTATCACACAAATGTCATATCATTGTTTCTTTCAAGTTTAAAGGCAATTTTTTTCTCCTTTGTGAAAGTTGAAGAAACCAGATGGTTTTAAACTTTTCTTTATGGTCAGAACAAACACTTGATGCCAAACAGCTGATCACTTCACAAATCTGAAGAACATTCAATACAGTTATGATAAAATCTTTTTTTTAACAAATATGCCTGAGTAAAATTAAGTAAAATATTTTTTCAGTCCCTTTTCCTCAACAAAATAAATATATTAAAAATAGTGCTAATTTGTTTGTGATTCAAATGAATTAAATCAAACATTTATTGAAAATTTGTTATAATAATTATCATTACTGTTTCGTTGCCCAGCTCTAGTCTTATACTACGATATTAAGACAATAAAGACAAATTCTTCTTGCATTAAACTTACATTAATAGGTTTATTTTGGTCATTTGGAGGTTGCGCAATAAGCTGTAAAACGCACCATTGACATGTTTTCCATAACATTTTCCTTTATCACATTATAGTTGACAGGCCAAACATGTAGGCAAATACTTGCCTACCTATGTCCAACAGATACTCCAGCCTTAATTTGGAGCCGTGTTTGTGTCAAGCTGGCAAATTTCAGTCTAATTTTTACTCTTTACATTAACACTATATGTTTGTATTACTAAGATAGATCATGTAATATACAGGCATATTCAAATTTCCATAACAACAGTTTTATACTTTTTTTTTTTTTTTTTTTTTTAGAAAAGCGAGTGTAAACAATTGTTTTTAATTGTCATGTGTTGTTGTTGTTGTTGTTGTTGTAGGAGCCGCTGAAGCCCAAGCCCAAGCCCTTTTTTCGTTGCCACGGCGACCTGGCTATGGCACCATTGGGAAGCCCATCAAGCTTCTCGCCAACTGCTTCCAGGTAGAAATACCCAAGATCGACGTCTATCTGTATGAGGTGGACATCAAGCCAGAAAAATGTCCTCGCCGGGTCAACAGGTAACAGGAAAGGCTGAAAGTGGTTCAGGTCTTGAGCTGCTATTTATGAGCAGACTGTCCTCAGGAGACTGGACTCTTTTGTTCAGTGTAGACCAGATGGACTGTGAACATATCAGAGAGTTAGCTAACACTACCTGTGTGTTGATGGTTTTTTTCAGGGAGGTGGTGGACTCCATGGTTCAGCATTTCAAGGTGACCATCTTTGGTGACGTTCTGCCAGTTTATGATGGGAAGAGGAGCCTCTACACTGCTAACCCACTTCCTGTCGCCACTGGTGGGGTAAGACTACACAGTAAAGTTTGGATGCTGGTGTTTTAGTTAGTCTGGACCAACAAAAATCACAGTTTAGCTTGACAGAGAATGTCAAGGTCAGAAGTGTGTGCTGTTTTTCTTGTCTTCTTGTTAGATCTTATCAATGGGACATCATGAAAATAGGCTCACTCTTAAAAACAGTGTCATACCAAAATTAAAGTAATATACTATGGCATAGGTCCCTATAATTTCTGCAATGCATAAATTGCAGAATGAAAAAAATATATATATACAAACTAAACACACACACACTCCTTCATGTTGAAGACGGTGCGTTAGCAAGAGCTCAACACTTCAACAAACTGTCAGAATTGCGACCACATCAGCAGATGCAAGATGCCAGCTCGTACATTTGGTGGCTGTGTGGACGGAGTCAGATATTCTGTTAGAAAAAGATAAAAAGTCACGCCCGGTCAAGCTTTGTAAACAAGGAGGAGTGCTCTCCACGTGAGAGTTGCCTCCTTCAGACCCACTTATGTGTTCAGCAGCATACTGAGGCTGTCAAGTAATAACCTGTTTCATAGGAGACATTTCACAATACACGTATTGCAACAATGTGTTGTTGTTGTTATTGTGACTTGTCTCCATGAATAATTGCACATACATTTGAATATTTCTGTAAATATGACACATCAAATTCATATTGATATTGATTCAATTTGTAATATTTTCTTAATTTATTCCTCCATCACATGATTACACGCTCTTTCTTCTTTCTGATGATAAAATGTGCTTAAATAGAAAAATTTAAACAAAAAACATGGAATTTGGGGAAACAGATTTCTTAGGGCCCTAAATAATGGGCCTGGAGACACATGCTTTTTATTTTTCTTATCATTGAGACCCTTGTTTTCCATCTTCAGGTGGATCTGGATGTCACCCTGCCAGGTGACGGTGGGAAGGACCGCCCATTTAAGGTCACCATTAAGTTTGTGTCACTGGTCAGCTGGCACATGCTGCATGAAGTCTTGACGGGACGTGCTGTGGCCGAACCGGTGGACCTTGACAAACCGATCAGCACCAACCCTGTTCATGCCGTGGACGTTGTCCTTCGTCATCTGCCCTCCATGAAGTGAGTTTTCTCCCTTGACCATCTGCAAAGATTTATTTATTTTTGGTAATATTTAAAAAGAATTGTAAAGAAATTCACACCTAGTTCATATTTAAATACTCTGAATTATATTGAAAGCTCAGTGTAGCCTTATAGTTTGAGATAATTACTAGTCTCTAAGATTTTAAAATTTGGTTAAATATGTAGCTCAAATCATGACTACTGTATGCTGTAGTTTACAATAACCATATTACAGTTTTCAGTGACAGGAAGATGAAGACCACTGAATTAAGCATGAGAAGACTATTTCTTGTTGATTAGTTCTGGTCATGAAATATGATCCAAGGATACTTTCATCCTAGAGCTACTGTACAGCTCCCCTAATTTATCATGCAGTATTTTAACCCCAAAGGCGTCACATATTGTAACAGGTGCCGTTTGGTGGAAACATATATTTACCCTACAATACTACAGGTGGATATATCTTCAGTATATTTGGAGATGGTCCAAGTGGGATTTGATTACAACATGGACATATGGATTAAAAGCATATTGTATGTGATCTGCCATTTGGTGAATCCATTAACTGAAATAGCTTTTAGTAACATGAACGAAAACCTTTTTAGCCTCCTGTGGTTTCAAACCAGTAACTCATGCAGAGCTTGTGTTATGCTGCACCCAGTGAACCACACAGGGAATGCAACTCCCAGCCTGAGTTCTATTTTTGTGCTCCACACTCACCTTAGTGAATCTCCCTGTCATTATCAGGTACACACCTGTCGGACGGTCCTTCTTCTCCTCCCCAGAGGGTTATGACCACCCTCTAGGTGGGGGAAGAGAGGTTTGGTTTGGCTTCCATCAGTCGGTACGGCCAGCCATGTGGAAAATGATGCTCAACATTGATGGTGAGTAAGCACTGGGGAAACCAGGCACATTTAAAGGAATATTTAGATATTTAAAAGAATATTTAGTCATTTGTCAGAAATTTGCTCATTCTCTTTCTTGTTAAGAGTTTAATAAGAAGATCAGTACCACTCTCAAGTCATAAGGCTACAACAAGAAGGCATTTTTAACCTGTGGTTTTTGGACGGATTAAACAAACAAGATGAAACATTAGGTACCGGTGGGCGGTTTTTGTTACCCTGGACAGAGCCAGGTTAGCTGTCCCCTTTTCTCCAGTCTTCATGCTAACCTAAAGTAACCGATATCTGTGATCAGAATCTCCCTTACTGCTGTTTGTTCAAATTAAAACTGTTCTTTTGTTTTACTCAAAACCTCATGACCAACTCAAAAGAATTTATGCGTAACACTTACATTTCCTTGTATCTTGTTTGCTGGTTAACTGGCAGTGTTTATTCTAATGTGCAGGCAGTGTTCATCAAATGTTGTCTTAAAAGTTATGCACTCTGCAATGCATTTTTAATGTATATATCTTTTTGGGATTGAGAATAATCTCTGTGCCTCATGGCTCTAAGTAAACCTTCATCCACCTCCACCTGTGTTAAATTTGACCTTGACCTCTATCGTTTCAGTGTCAGCCACAGCTTTTTATAAAGCCCAGCCAGTAATCCAGTTCATGTGTGAGGTCCTGGACATTCACAACATTGACGAGCAGCCTCGCCCTCTCCCTGACTCCCACAGGGTCAAGTTCACCAAAGAGATCAAAGGTACACCACCAAGGAAAGGTAGTGCTTGTTTTCACTGTGCTGCAGTACGAGGCTTACCCTGTACGGCTTTGTGTGTTGTTATGTGTTGGGAACAGATGTGTTTTGATGTTGCAGTAGCCTTTTCAGTATTAGCTTTTTATGTTTTGATAGTTTATTTGATGCAGGCTTAATTTTGCCGATGTAGGAATTTGAACTATTGAGTTTAGGGTTGGGTATTGTTTAGGGCTGGCCCAAATATAATTTTTTGAGCTTCGAGGCTTTGATAGTCACTTTTAACTGTAATTATAGTGACTAAATGCTCTTCTTCTACAATTGGTCAAATATAATTATTTAAATGTGTTCATTGTGTTGTTGTTTGTTTGTTTCCAGCCTGCAGTTTACTGATTAATTTTAAAATGTTGGACATTTGACTGTTTTCATCTGTAATAAAATTAAGCAATTGTAAAATTAATAAACGCTATAACTTCCACTCTTCTGCTGTTAAGCTCAGTGCTCTCACACAGCAGAGGGCTTCATTTCATTTTCCCTTTGATGTGAACTGGAGTGTTACGTTCACTGCTGTTGGTGGAGGTCAGGCGCGCAAACCCCCCCCCTCAATAATCATATTTCATAATTGAATGTGTACCCAACGGTCGAATATTCGGATCCAGCCCTAGTATCGTTTAAATTGATTTGATAAATCAAATCAGGTTCTTACCGAATCTCTGTTCTATATAATATATTTTGGAGGGGAAAAAAAGAACGCATGTTCCAAGAACAAAAATTTGCCTACCTTTTATTCTTGCCACATTTAGAGTCACACATTATGCTACACCTACCACGGGGTATCATAGTTTACAGTAGACTAACGTTCTGTCAGCTGCTTCTGATGTGCTATGACTCAGGAAAATATCAAAGAAGGCTAATGTCCATGGATACGGCTGTGAATAAACAGATTTTGCATACCTAAACAGAAGAGACTCGACCTTAGAAAGGGATGTAACCGCTTCACTACAACTCTTATCAGTGCTCGGTGACATTCATCCATACTCATCTTCCCCTTCCTAGCTAAAGTGAAAGTAGTTTCTGTACTAGAGGGACCCCAGAAAAAAATATATCATTTGTAGACATCATCTGTTTCCCTTTAGTCTAAAGGGTGAATGTCAGCTCACCTTGGGTTTTGTACCATTAGTGTGAGACGTGGCTACTTTTAGCGTTAGCTGTATCTGGGATTAGCTGTACTCATGATTGATGCCATATTGAAGAAAATGCTTTGTCATATTGCACCAAACATCCTTACTGCAAGTGTTGCATTTTGATGCGTCCTTAACATTTGTTACTGAAACTTTTAAGTGTTTGCTGCGGTCCGCCATGGTCCACAAATGTTAATAGAACTACACTCTTCTTGCATGCTTTGTTGATGTACTGCGTAACAAATGGTGTGACGTTAGGTCTGTGTAGCCGGACCTGGCAGATAAGTGCAACTTTTATGGACTGTAAAAAGCTCACTGCAGTTAAATTGGGAGCGAAACTGAAATATGCAAAAAGTTATGAACCAATAACCAGAATTGAAAAGCACATGTTCTAGGAAATTTGGTACTGGCTCCAACTTGTAACCTGTTCTTGATGACCCAACCCTAATTGAGTTTTTCCAGTCTACTGAATAAAAGCTTTAGCCACTTAAATGTTGCTGTTGCGCATTCACATTGATCTCTCCACCATCTCCACAGGTCTTAAAGTGGAAGTGACTCACTGTGGAACCATGCGTAGGAAGTACAGAGTCTGCAATGTAACACGACGCCCTGCCAGCCTCCAGACGTATGTTTCTACACTGCACTCCAGTAGCTCTTTACGCACAATCAAAGCTGTCGTTGGCTTACATTAACAGGTGGTTCTTGTTACCCTTCCATCCATAGATTTCCGTTGCAGCTTGAGAGTGGTCAGACAGTTGAACGCACTGTGGCGCAGTACTTCAGAGAGAAGTACAACCTGCAGCTAAAGTACCCCCACCTGCCTTGTCTGCAGGTGGGCCAGGAACAGAAACACACCTACCTGCCCCTGGAGGTAAGGACTGATGACCGTATGATTCCACTGCCAGCTGCTGGTAAATATGTCTTTGGAAGATAAATAATGATAATGATGACCTGTCGTTGTGGCTGGTAAGGTTTTGAGATAGTATGAAAGTTTAATGTAAAGTAACAATGTTTCCCACAGAATGATAGTGTAACTGTGGCGCACGGGGCGTAAAATCAAATACGATTTTAAATAGGCCTAGTAAAAAAAATCGAAAATCAATCTGTAGCAGTCAGCGTTGATGTTGTGGCGGGCCGCCACAAATAAATGAACGTGTGGGAAACACTGAGTAATATCAAAATATAATTGGGTACCAGAAATCATAAATCACATTTTTGTATCCAAATATGTTGGGCATGTGTAAAGGTTAGCCTGAATCATGTAGGTCTTGTGTTGTGCCCGTTGACTGCTGTTTCTGCCGGTTGGAGAAACAAGTTGGTGGTATTAAGAATAGGGAGATCATATTCCTGAATGGGTAATTAGCTATAAACATCAATAGCAGTGACAGAAAAATGGTGACCAGTGTGGTTGAGATACAACTTGATGTAAATTAAGTTGTATTTAAATATTTTTTTACATATTCGGAAAAATAAATCTTTGATGCTCTGCTACTACAGCTTTCATGTCAACTCTCAATGGATATCTCAATGGCTTGCTCCTGATTGGTTTGGACAAAATCAAAACGCTAGTGAATGAATGAAGTAAAACAAACTGGTAATTCAGTCAGATTATCAAACTGGATTAAGAGCTAGATTAACCTGAACCGGCTTTTTTCCCTTCCGTTCAGGTGTGCAACATTGTAGCTGGACAGCGCTGCATTAAAAAACTAACAGATAACCAGACGTCAACCATGATCAAAGCAACAGCCCGCTCTGCACCAGACAGACAGGAGGAGATCAGCAGGCTGGTGAGTATCTTGTGGACCAGAAATAAAATTGCAAGAAGCTTGCTTTTTTTTTTGTTCAATAAAACAAATTCTCTTCCCCTCAGGTGAGGAGTGCAAATTACGAGGCCGACCCATTCGTCCAGGAGTTTCAGTTCCGCGTGCGAGATGAGATGGCTCAGGTGACGGGCCGCGTCCTGCCGGCCCCCATGCTGCAATATGGCGGCAGGGTGAGCTCTGAACCATTTATGGTACCTTCCCTTTAAATCACGCTTCATATGCATGTTTGTTTTTTAACAAGTCTCTGTGTTGTGTGTCTGAGACAGCGGGGTTTCCTCCAGTTAGTCAGAAAAGCTGCACAAGTTGGACTAATAATCCTGACTCTTGAAATTTCGTGGCTCTGAATTTCTGCCTTAAAACCAAAAACTCAGTTGGTCCTATGATCCTTTAGTAGTGATGAATGACATGTACATGTGGAACTCTTTCAACAATGACAAAAATTCAAAAATGAGCCACTCTAAGGCAGTTCTGAGCTGAACACATTTTCTGTGGGGAAACCCTGTGATTTTCACATTTGATGTGTCACAATTCTCTGATTGCATCTTGTCCATCTCTCACATGAACAATTTGCTGTGGTTTTATACTCTTACAAATGCATGATGTTTTAAAAGATAATACAAAGAAGATGTTTTGATTTGAAAGCAGTCTCTGATTTGCATGTCTGCCATACAAATATGTTTTCCTGCAATACACGCTAAATGCATGATCCAATCAGAAGCACAGATTAAAATCGGGTAATGAAATTAATTTGTCTCTAATGCCATGATCAGCCGATGAATCTCAGTCTATTAAATAATCACCAGCCCTTGATCTTGAAATCTCACTGGCTGCCTGAATCCTTTAAATCTTTGAATCCATACTTTGTCTGTGTTCTTGTACTGTATGTGTCTGTGTGACTGCCAGCCCCAGCAGATCAACCCTGCACTGTCGTTGCAGAACCGCACGGTGGCCACACCCAGCCACGGGGTGTGGGACATGAGGGGGAAGCAGTTTCACACGGGAGTAGAGATCAAGATGTGGGCCATCGCCTGCTTCGCCACCCAGAGGCAGTGCCGAGAAGAGATCCTTAAGTGAGTTTAAAAAAAAATGCTTAGTTTAGTTGGTGTGGTTAAAGTAACACGGGAAGTGATAAAAATAATAAAAGAATCAACAGATTAAAGGAAGGATAATACACATTTTAGCTTGTGAAATAAAAAAAAAATGCTCTGGAACCCAATGAAGAAAATCTCACATTTAAAGAAACAAGTCAAATTTATTTAGATTAACAAGAATTGCAAAGTCTAAAATAGAATAATTTAGTAGAGTACTTATACTAGGGTATGACAGTTAATTTTACAATTATGTAGCAGAACATTTTTTTCCCCTTATTTTGAATAATTAAAAAATACAGTTTGAGAACAGAAAAATCACTCCTCAAGTGACAAGAAGAATTACATAAATAAATCACAATAAACCAGTACTCTGCTGCTAGTGACATTAAAAACACATTACTAGCATGTCTTTTTTTTATGAAAATAACTACATTTCTTTTTTTCTTCATGCTCAGGAGCTTCACTGACCAGCTGCGTAAAATCTCAAAGGATGCTGGGATGCCAATCCAAGGCCAGCCATGTTTCTGTAAATACGCCCAGGGAGCTGACAGCGTGGAGCCCATGTTCAGACACCTGAAGAACACCTACGGTGGGCTGCAGCTCATCATCGTAATCCTGCCTGGGAAAACACCTGTCTATGGTACAAAAATACATTTCTAAACCAGATACAGTGTTGAAATATGAACGGTAACAAAGTCAGTGTGCATAGAAATGTTGCATCTGAACCTCTGACCTTTAGGCTCCTGCTACCCTAGACAAATACAAAATAGTCTCACTTCAGTCATATGAACTTTGTGAGGCATATAAGTGCAGTAAACCGTGAATGTAGAGTCAAAGGAATATCTCTGGCCCACAGCTGAGGTGAAGCGGGTGGGCGACACCCTTCTTGGCATGGCCACTCAGTGTGTGCAGGTGAAGAACGTAGTGAAGACGTCCCCTCAGACCCTGTCAAACCTCTGCCTCAAGATCAACGTCAAACTGGGAGGAATCAACAACATCCTGGTTCCACACCAACGGTAAAATGAACACAGAAAGTAAAGATAGACCTCATGGGTTCTTGCTGCTGCGTCTTGTCAGTCTTTTTTTGAATTTTTTAACTAAAATTCAAGGTTTTTTTTCTCACCTAGACACATTCTGAGTTCAGTGGGTAGGGAAAATAATCCGGCTATCTGACATTCATGTCTTCTTAAATTGTTATAATTTTTGACTTTACATCAAAAGTGTCTCTGATAATGTCTGAGCCTGTCTGCTGGCTGTTCGAAAGACTGTGTCGCATCATGACTGATGGTCGGAAGATAATTTTTTGTCTCTTGTCATCCACACAGACCCTCTGTGTTCCAGCAGCCTGTCATCTTCCTCGGGGCTGATGTCACTCATCCTCCAGCAGGAGATGGGAAAAAGCCATCTATTGCAGCGGTGAGACTTCACTTCAGAGAAAAGATACTTGGTCAACAATCTTGTATTTTTTCTTCACTTACACTACTCATATCAGTCTCTGCCTGTTGTCACAAAATGGACTTTATTACCCTGAAATAATTTTGGACTGGCTGTAGCCGTTTCCTTGCTGAAACATGACTAAAACACACTGTATAATTTGAGTGTTTTTAACATTTATAACATTTTTAACATCTATGTAACTATGTATTGTATTACTTGCATACCTTTGCAGAAACCCACAAAAAATAGTTTCTTAAATGCTCTTAAAGGTTCAGTGTGTAATATTTAGGAGGATCTATTGACAGAAATCCAATATAATATACATAACTATGTTTTCAGTGGTGTATAAAGACCTTACATAATGAACTATTATGTTTTTATTACCTTCAGAATGAGCCATTTCTATCTACATTCAAAGCGGGTCCCCTCACATGGAAGTCATCATGTTGCTACGCCATGTTTCTGCTGTAGCCTAAACGGACAAACCACTCTACAGAGCACGTTTCGTCACTACATGTAATACGTACAAAGCAGAAGTAGTAATAGCAGTAGTAGTCTGGTTTAATAGAAGTAAGAAGAGAAGTGACATTTGGACAAATAGAAGACCACACGCATTATTTAGCACAAAAACTGACAGAGCACGTCGGCCACCGTAGCTTCGCCTAAGCGCTTGCAAAAGGAGGGGTGAGAAGTAACTGATGGTGCATTCATGTGGTGCCGGAACAAATTTTGTGTACATGGGACATAAAGAAGTATACAGAACAGTATACAAATAATTAAGAAGACACAAATAATAAAAGCTTTCCCAGGGTTAGGCTATATTATGTAAATATATTAAAAGAGCAGCCTTTTTTTGTTGGATTTAGAAATTAAGTTGAGATAAGATATCGTATGTCTGCGTGTTGTTTATTCGCTCTGGTAATGCTAATCCAACACATCTTTGTATTAGCGTCCATGCTGATTCCACATTCTGACTTAAAAGCGCATGAACACACACTGAAGTCGGAAGAACAACTTCACAACTCAGGAAATGGGATCATCTGCGGAGCAATAAATGCACCATGAGCCACTGGTTGCTAGATGGCACTAAAACTTACACATTGAACCTTTAAGTTGTGATGTCTTTGCATATAATTGTGTTTCTGACACTTCTGACTGATGTCGTGCTTCTACAGGTGGTGGGCAGCATGGACGCTCACCCCAGCAGGTACTGTGCTACAGTGCGGGTCCAGAGGCCCAGACAGGAGGTCATCCAGGACTTGGCGTCTATGGTGCGAGAGCTCCTGATCCAGTTCTACAAATCAACCCGCTACAAGCCGACCAGGATCATCTTCTACAGGGACGGAGTGTCAGAGGGACAGTTCAGACAAGTAAATCAACTTTTTCTCTGTAAAAGTTGCAGGTTGTGTCAAATGTCCAATTCTTACTGTAATTTTACAAAAACACGTTTGCTAATGTTCTAAGTTAATTTACTTGGCAAGTCTAACTGTATTTTTCTGTGTAGGTCCTGTACTATGAGCTGCTGGCTATCAGGGAGGCTTGCATAAGTCTCGAGAAAGATTACCAGCCGGGGATTACTTATATTGTCGTGCAGAAACGCCATCACACGCGTCTCTTCTGTGCAGATCGCAACGAGCGGGTGAGTTAGAAAACGGGACTTCTTTTTGTAAACAATATGGTGTTCTAGGAGTATTCTGGTGGCCTGCATCTGTATGATTTGATTTGGCAAATTAGGAAGGTGATCAGACAAAAGGGAAGTAAAGCAGATTAAAGAAGGATTTGACATCAGGGTTAGTGCTCAGGCTTGTAAAGGATTTTTGTGGAAGTGTGACCTCTTAAAATAGTAAAATTACGCTTCACTCTCAGGTTGGACGAAGTGGAAACATTCCTGCAGGCACCACAGTGGACACCGACATCACCCACCCCTACGAGTTTGACTTTTACCTCTGCAGTCACGCTGGAATCCAGGTAAACTTTGTCGGGCGAACCCAGACTTACTACACCAGACTCAAACTCACTGAAAATACAGTAGCAAGAACTTTCACTGTATAGACTGAATTATTGTAGTACACTTGTGGTGGCCAGATTTCTGATTTAAGGCCTTTTTAAAACCACAAGTACATTTTCTGTACATTTTCTTTTAAATTTAATGAACTGTTGTGGTTACTGTATGTTATGCATACTTAGACCAACTTGTAGTGAAGAGTATCAAAGAATATTCCCTCTTCCTCAGCTACACAGACAGACTGAGAACTTCTCTATTTCAGTCTGTCGAACAACCACGCCTCCCCTCTTCACCTAAATTTAGCCGCTCATTGTTTGTCCTTTTCTCTATGGAGCTGCTTTTCTCTGGGGCGCGATTAACTCGGTTTTCCTCCCTGCAGGGTACAAGCCGGCCTTCCCACTACCACGTTCTGTGGGACGACAACTGTTTCACCGGGGATGAGTTCCAGCTCCTCACCTACCAGCTGTGCCACACCTACGTCCGCTGCACGCGCTCCGTCTCCATCCCTGCACCAGCTTACTACGCCCACCTGGTAGCCTTCCGTGCCCGCTACCACCTGGTTGACAAAGAGCACGACAGGTGGGGAGAAAGTCTTTTAATTTTAATTAGATGATGCAGGCCTCTGCACACCAGGTCAGAAATTGTCGCACGTTTAAATGCAAACTCACAATGTCAAGTTTACACACTCTCCGAAACTTTCATCCATCATCAAAGTTTTTGCATCTGTCAAAAGCACAGCGTCGCATACAAAAAATACTGTGTGCCTTATGGGACTATGGAAGTTGATTACATCTGAATCATCTTAATTTATTTGTAAGAAAGGAATGGAACCAATGAATCTGTTGGGGATTACTCCTAGATTAATCATTTTGGCTGTACAAATTTATTAGGTCATCCATTTTTTAAGGAAATTATATTTATTTTTTAATTATAAAGTGTCTTTATAATAACAATAAATAATAAAAATAATTACTTTTTCAGGTCAGACACTATCAAATGTAAATATTGTAGACTTTTTAATATGTAACTTACCATTATTCCTCTCTCTCATTTCAAAGTGCGGAGGGCAGCCACGTCTCAGGGCAGAGTAATGGCAGAGACCCCCAGGCGCTGGCCAAGGCTGTTCAGATCCACCACGACACACTGAGGACCATGTATTTCGCCTGACCGCCCCTCCACTTCCCTCCATCTTCAACCAGTCTCAGTGTCCCACTTCCATCAGCTGCCTCGTCACGTCACGCAGAGGCCACTGGAACTCGGTGGCGACGGCTGCGAGTGCAGGCCGCGTAAGGACGTAATAAGCCAGAGAGGAGTTACAGCCACATTATGCAATTTGAAACCAGCCAATCTTTTCTGTGCTCCCGCCCGTGCATCTCTTTCTCACCTACACCTCCTCTGCTGTATTTAAATTACAATGGATTCTGTCTCCTCTAAAGCGCGCAAGTCACGTCCTTGCCTTCCAGTTTTGACAGCAGCTCAAAGTTTTTATTTTGCTGTTTTTATTTTTTTCTGTGTGTTTAAAGTATGGCGGAGCAGCAGGGAATACAAAAACTGATGATTTTTTTGGTGCATGGTGGGCATGAAGCAGAACCAGTGAGGACCTGACTTGCTCCGTAGCCTCATGTTGACCCTAATGTTGCTGGTTTATGTTGTAGATGGTTTTTACACGTTTGTTTGTGAGTTTTCATCTTGTCTAGATATAATTTGTGTCACTTCTCTGTCGAGCAAATGTGTGATTGCCACTGCAACACGTTAGCCAAGTACGCTTGTAAACGTCAGGCTGCCTTAGCAGTTACTCCTCTGTCTCCCTTTAAGCCAATGGTTCCTCACAGTCATTCAGCCAGACAGTAAGAAGCCCAACTCAGCACTCAACCAACACAGACACTGAATGAAATCTTTATTTAATTTTTTAAACAAAGCCACTTACAGCCATCAAAGAGGTATTGTGTATCGCTTAATGCCTTACAGCGAGGTGAGGTGCATACAGAGGACTGCTAGAATACAATGCCATGGCCATGAAATGGACAATTTTAAACGTCTCTCACTCACAGTTCAGCTTGGTACAAAGTGTTATACCAAACGTCGTCCTGTGAGTTTTATTCCTTCTTGCTATTTATGAGTTGTTGTGTTCTTTTTAACTTAATTAACATTCGTTTTCAGCAATAGAACAGAGTAGACCGTTTCTATCTTGTGACGACCACAAACCTTTTGGCTTTTCACAGCTTTTACACAAGGAACTGACCAATTTAGTTGTCAAAAACTCCGTCAGTGCAATAAGGTGTTAATACAGAGCGAGCAGGTTCAGTGGTGAATGTTTTCAAGGAGCTTTGGCGTGCTAAAATGTTTACGAGTGAGTTTTGGCATGTGACAATGAACTTGGATTCAGGAATGTATCGGCCTGATGTGAGGATGTGTGGATCAGCCGAGAGGTCTGATGGTGTTTGGAGAGATCAAACAAAGTGCCTGATTTGGTAAGAGTGTGTTAACTGTTAGTTGGATGGAAGGTTTTTAATCGAATGTTGGTTTGGTTGCTTCTGTTATTGCATTTAGTGAAACGGTCTCAGAATCCCAACATAATGTAAAAATACTGCACTGCCCGAGACATGGAGCTGGACTGTAGTTGATCTCAATGCATGTGTGATTATTCCTAATGTTTTTGTTTTTCGTTATCAGGAAATAATTAATCAACTTAACATTTTAACGGTTTGTGTCCTTGTGATTGCAACATATTATGTGATCAGTTAGACGCACTTTATTGGAGATCATACATAAAACAAAGCTTACATTGATTATGAAATACAACAGTGCAGTTTCCTGCAAATTATGTCCAGCTTTTTCATGAAGATTTTTTATAATGTCACGATCTTGAGAAGTGGTCATGTCAGTGAGGGAGAAAAAAAAAAAAGAATAATCACACTCATTTCTTCTCTGCTATTATAAATGTGGATTTCTGAGCAGGCGTTACATGCAGCCAGTTGAAGACAGAGACTTGGATGCGTGTCCTCACTTGGTGCACTGACAGCCCGCACTCTTTGTACTCTTTCATATTCATATATCAGTCTTTTTCACCTTGCTGTTTTGCATTTGTTTTTAGAGGAGGTCTGGGCTGGGTATCTCCAAAACTGGTTTTCATGCTGCAGCTAACTATTATTTTCATTATCGATTAACCTGCTCATTTTTTCTCAATTAATAATTTTGTTTATAAAATGTATTATTATTACTTTTTTAATATTTGTTCTAATTTCACATAGCCCAATGAGATGCATCAGATTTCTTGTTTTGTCTGACCAACAGTCTAAAACCCAAAGATTTTCAGTTTACCACCATATATGACAAAGAAGAGCATCACAGTCTCTCATTTCAGTCCCTAGAAACAGCAGATTTTTTACTAAAAATTACTAAAAACTATCAATTATAAAAATAGTTGCTGATTAATTTTCTGTCAGTTGACTAATTAATAATAAAATAATCGTTGCTGCTCTAGGACGGTACTTAAAACTACCTTTCTATTTTGGAGGAAACCATTTTTTCTGCTACATTTGGACACTGGTAGCTTATGAATCTCAAATTACAACAAAATAATTATCGGAAAAATCACATAAGACATCTGCTAACAATCCAACATGTTGAAGTTTATCAATATATTTTTTTGCTTTTTTAAATCATCGTTGCCAGTTATCAGTCACAGTGGTACTTCTTTTCAATGCCCAGCCCCTGAGGGTGTTTTTCTGTCATGGCCTTGCAGTATAGTTTAACACAGACGAAGCCTTCAGGTTTCATCACGTGGACCAAACCAACGTGCCTGGTAGGGGTGAAGGTGGAGGATTTTGAGGGAGGGTGGGGTTGCTGTACTGTACGGGTAGCTCTCTACACTCACAGCCTTACAGCATCGTGCTGATCGGCCCTGTACTGCTAACTGTGCAAGCCACATGTCACCAGAACCAAACTTACGCTGCTATAAGAAAACCCATTTATTGAATATTTCCTCAGATATATACACATACACATATACACAGAGAGACTTAGAGGATATGGTATTTTACTGCACTTAAAAAATATGCACGTGTTTATGGTTGAACATGATGCTGCTGAGGTGTGTTTTGTGTCCGGGCAGAGTTTGTGCTTCTGGTTGATTCTCTTCTGTTTTTGGAGTCGCCTGCAGTTAAAAGCATTTTTAATTCTAAAAACTATCTGAGTAGTTTGTCCCCCTCTGTGTTTGTTGTCCCGTTGAAGCAGTTTCCTAAATGTCAGACATTACCAGCATTTGATTTTACTTGAAGAAAATTAGTCGTGGGCATGTTTAACATTGTTGGCTTGTGCTCTGCTTGTTTTTTGAAAGTCTATTTAGAGCCTTATGACGGGAATCCCTTTTACACTCACAACGCCACGTACAGTAAGTCGACCTGTAGGCAGGTCTTTGTGTCTTACAGCGCTGGACATCAGATGCCTTTTTCCTAAATAAAATAAAAGCATTTTAAAGTCTGAATTGAGATATATTTATATGTAAGGATATTCATGTAATGCACACACCACTTATTTTTCCTATTAAGTCCTATTTGAAGCAGAAGTGTGATAGCTGTATGGAAATATGGAGTTTAATAATCGCAGTGGCCGGTGATCATTTTTCAGAATTTGATAATGCAATAGGTTTACTTGTGTTAAAAGCTAAACGGATGTATTTGCTGCATTGACCTGCTTTGTGGAGACCGTTGAGGGTTGTTTTGTCATGTTAAGTGATCAGATGAACCTTCAACCCTCCTCTGCAAAGACCTGTGAAGACCTCCCCCCTGCTGTTATTTTATCATCTCAAAAAGCTCATCAAAGAAGTGAAAGATTTTGAATGTGATGGGATTTAAGACATTTCTCAGTGCATGTGCTGCAAACTGCATCAAAGTTTTTTATTTTACTTTCTTTTGTTTGCTGTTGTTTTGTTTTCTTTTTTTTTTAACTCTTTTTGCATATTCATGAGAGGAGGAGGGTTGAAAGTTCATCCTTGGACCCACTCGTCCGTAAACAGACTGTGCCTTTCCTGATGGTGCTGAAAAAGAAAAAAAAAAACGAGTAAATCAAAGAAATCTTAATTTTCAGAAAGGGCGCTGAGGCCCGAGTCTACATTGATAAGTATATATTGATACATGACAATACTGTAAGGTGTGAGTGTGTGTGTGTGTGTGTGTGTGTGTGTGTGTGTGTGTGTGTGTGTGTGTGTGTGTGTGTGTGTGTGTGTGTGTGTATATATATGTATTTGTGTGTGAGTGTGTGGATACCTCTGACATATATGCCAAGAACACACAAATATGCAGAACTGATCAGTGTGGAGCTGACAGGACCAAAAGGCCTGTGGGGATCAGTTTAGTAGACGGGCACTCTCAAGCACAACCCAATAACTAACATTTCTAAAAAACAAAAAACAAATAGGGGAACACTCATGACTCCATAGGTAACGAGTAGCTCAGTGTAGATTATGTAGCATTATTTATTTAACTTTATTTCTATAGGGAAATGATGCCTCCCTTACTGCTTGTAAACACATTTATTTTTTTTTCTCCCTCCTTTAGCGTTTTAATTTATGTGTTCATTCTCGAATGGACGGCAATAATGAAGATATCGTAAAGTTTCTGTGCAAACCGTTTGTCTGGCCTTCTCTCAGTTTATGCACGTCACCATCTGACCCTCTTTTTTTTTTTTTTATGATTTTAGTTTTTCTTCTATCTTCTAATGTGAAATTTTAGACGTTTACAGACTTGGGATCGTTCTTCGGTTGAGTTGTAACTTCACGAGTGCCCGTCTCCCATGTGAAGGGATTCCCCACAATAATAAATCTGTAAACCTCTGCGGTTGGCTGCATATCATACTCAAAAAGATAAATAATGTTTGGGTTTCACAGTATATTAATGTGCTTTTTTCCTTTTGTTTTTGCCTGATTATTAAAATGTGTCACTTTTAGAAGTAAATTGTATGTCAAGACCTTTTTTGTCTTAACACTCATCTGATCCTGGTCCTACGTTGAGCCTTTTTATTTGGTTGTCATATTTAATTTTTTGAATAAATACTCTATGTATGAAATGTGTTATTTCTTTCTACATTTTTAAAATTTTAATATTTTTGACAACATTACCCGGATGTCTCGTCACGTTGAAATCTGCACTCTTAAGAGGAAATGGAAAGGTTTAGAAAGCCATGAACACCCTCACGGTTTGTGATCATTTCCAGAGGCAACTGCAAATGTGAATGAGAAAAGTGATCACAGAATCACAGTTGAACTCATGCAAACTGTTTACAGTTTGCACAATCATAAAATTAATTTTGTGTGATGACGTTCACATCGGGTATCATAGTCTCGAGGTGTTTAAGTCACCTTTCTTAACTTAGGGATTCTACTCCACTCAACAAGCAAAAGTTATGTTAAAACTGTATATTGCAGAACATTGTAGTTAGCTTTAATCTTTGTGACAACAGAAAGTATGATCATAACTTAGTATATATTCAAACACCAATCCAATGAAGAGTCCCAACTTTGTCTAAAGTAATTTCACTGCTTCCTGTGTAGGATACTCTTAACATGATTAGTGTACAAGTAATACTCCCATATTAATTTCAGATCTGATTTTCTGACAGTTTATTTTAAAGGTGCCCTAATTTAATTTTACAGTTTATAGGTAAAAATGGAGACAGTTTTGTGAGACAGTAGACTTATTAAGTCACCACATTTATGTTGAATATGTAAATGAATATAGTAAACATTATGCCTGCTAAACATCGTTATTGAGAGCACGTTAGCATGTAATGCATAACTTTGCCCAGCAAGCAATAACTAAGACTCCAGTGTCGGTGAAAAAATTAAAATAATAATCATAAGCTAAACAACTTAACTCCTCCATACAGATTTTCATGCATGAAACTCGACCGAGTACAAGATGGCTACTGCACTGGTGAAGGTAGGTTGCAATACTTAATAAATGGAAATAATTAAGTGTACGGATTGGTGTTACCAAATAAAATTTCAGGAACCTTCCTCAGAATTGACTTACTTTTCAGGAATTGATTAGAAAGCTGTGGGACCTGTAATCATAATATGATTCTGTTGGAAGGTAATAAAATTAAACGTAGCTGTATGTTTAAGGTCACAATATAATTTATCTCTTTTTCAGCAGGCTGAGTGAAAATAAGATTAGACAGCTTTCATTAAACTTTTTGTAAATTGAAGGTGCACACAGTAAACTTACAAATGAACAAAGTGTGCTGCTGAACCAACGTGCCTGGATGTCCTCTGTGCAGGACACTATAAAGATGTTATCTATGTATACGTGCACTTCTCCTGCATAGGAGCGCTGGATTCATTATTACCGACAGGAAATGGACAGAGGGCTGTTATCAGTCACTTCCTGTTTGAAGTTCCCGCAGACCAACACAGACACCCTTTATAACTTTATAACACTACGGCGTTGTGTAGTCTCTGTGTTTAGAGCTCAGGCTGTCCGTGCTTATAACTCCAAATTACCTTGGCAGTGTACAATCTCCACTTCCTGCTTATGTAGTCAACATCCCCTGGTTTTTAATTGCTTTATCCCTCGCTCCAATAAAACACTCATCTTTGAGTAAACAGTGTCCTTCTTGCACTGTGAGTCACAGAAAAGTATATTTAACCAGGATACTTCATGCATATGCTCTGATGGGACAGTTTCCTGCTTCATTTATACCAGTAATCTGAGAACAGAAAACTATTTTTCCCATAAACACTGTTATGTTGGAGACTCACAGTTGAAGCACTTCCACTGCCTAGATGAGCATTAAACTCTCCCGGTTACTGTATATCGTCAGTATGATGCCGGTTAAATCTGGTTCTCAAAGTATTTTTCACCATTCTGCATTCCCATTTCAAATTAATCTTTTAAACATATAGTCAGTGTTCGTCAACATAGAAACGCAGGTGCCTTCTGCATAATGTTACAACCCTTTATGTTGTAGTCACCAGTTGTAATAATTTCAACTTTGTTAATAAGAAATCATGTTTTGTCTCTCTCTACCATACCCATGAGAATTAGGGTTAGTGGGAGGAGCCATTTTGGGCACCACTGGTTCTGGAAGTAAAAGTCCCACTCGATGTTACATGACTCACAGTTGAAGCACTTCTACAGTTTGGATCTCCTGGTTAAATAATCAGTACAACTTATTAGAAAAGATCAGGTTCTTTGATCAGCACAAATTGAAAAGTGCAGAACACTGCATTCAAGTGCATCTGTATAGATCACAACAATGACTTTTTAAAACAGAGCTCACATTGTGCAGTGCTGTTTTGCAGCCTTTACTCAAGTGTCGGATGTTGGAGTTTCCTGCCTCCACCCCTCAGGGTCGACCGCCACTTCTGTAAGAATACTGTGATTGCTGTAATGAGCACACTTTTAAGTGATGGATTGTTTAGTCTTTTTTGATTGCTCTCACACTACACTGGAAAAAGGCTGACAAACCATTTATTGCTGACCTACTAACAGTAATTACTGCAGCTCAAATGGCTCATGATGAAACAACCACACCCACTGTAGTATTAACAAGGTAAAAACAGACGTCATAGCTTACTGCTAAGTAAACTTTCTTTACTGAAGGATCCACAGCTGTGTTACAACACTTACACCCAAAGGATCTACATGGTTCTGTTATGACATATGTGATGTCATGTTAATGGACATGAAAATAACTCATGCTTATACCAATAAATGTCAGCTTTAAATGTTGTTGCTTGACAAAAACAGAGTCAGCAGATAAATAACAGAAAATAAACTTGCTCACTCAAGTGTTTATTGCATTCCTTTTTAGCTCTGGAGCAAATGTTGCCTATAAAAGGTGCTGACATGACACTAAAGTTGTTGCTAGCCACAGTGATTGGTTCATTAAAAATAGCTTGAAGCCCCTCTCAATGGTGAGAGTGGAACATTTATTTGGTACATTTTTTTTCACTCTCTCAAAACACATTTACAATGGTAATGTCCCCAAACCTTTCAGGGAAGGGGTGCTTCCTTGTATTTTTTAGTCTTGAAGGGCCTCTGGTGAGGACTGTGAGGAGCCCCTCCACACCTCAGGATGTGCAGCTTTGCCATTATGTTCCTGAAGCAGTGATTTAACATGCTTCTTACAGCCGCTGAGGAGAAGTAAAAGATAACTGGATCCAGGCAGGCGTTGAATGTGCTGGAGAGCAATGCTACGTTCCTCCACCCCTCGCTGTCCTGATGAACAAACCCCACCACATGGGAGGCGTTGTAAGGCCCAAAACAGACGGCGAATACTATTAACGTGCCGAGTGCCAGACCAATGGCACGCAGCCTCCGGCGTCTGCCAATGTTTGGGAGACGGGACAGGATGAGGATGAAGTTGACGTAGCAGAAGCAGCAGATGAAGAAGGGTATGCAGAAGAGAACGAGAAAGAGCTCCAGGCGGACTGGTAGAAGGATGGCGAGCTCTTCTTGGCTGAAATTCAGGTAGCAGGTGGGGGGAGGGCTGTTGGTGGTGCTTCCATTGTTGTTGTCAGTGTGTGCACCTTTGCTCCACTGGGCATAAGGCATGATGTAGACGATGCTGAGGTTCAGAGAGCTCACCACCCAGAACATGATGCTGGCCCACATGGCGTAGCGAGGTCTGCGGCACAGGGAGTACCTGAGGGGGTAGGCGACCCCGAGGTAGCGCTCCACACTCACAGCTGTTAGCAGCAGGGTGCTGTTGTAGATGGTGACATAGAACATGAAACCACTGAAGGGACACAGCTGGTAAGGCAGCATCCAGACCATGTCATCAGAGGCCTCCTTAATTTTAAATGGCAGGAAAGCCAGGAAGATGAGGTCGGAGATGGTGAGGTTGAGGAGGAGGATGTCTATTGGGGCTGCCTTGCGGCGCACCTTGCGGCAGAAGGTGCAGAAGGCCAGGATGTTGGCAGGGACCCCCATGAGAAAGGTGAGGATGTAGACATAAAACAACAGCTGACTGCACAGCATGGCGGATGCTCACACCAGGGACAGACTCTCTGAGACACTGGACACAAGAAAACAGGAATCATCATTAGTATAATATGCAAGCGTCCCCCTCAGGATGAATTCAAATCAGGTCAAATTTGAATTTGTCTTGTACTTTGGTTTGTGACCAAATTCCAAACCAAAACATGTCTGCAATGTCATTGTGAGCATGTTAGCATGCATACCACCTCTGTTAAACAATCTCCTGAAGAAAGCCCTGCATGTTCAGCATCAAGAGATACAGGACATACAACTACATTCATCTTTTTTTTAAGGAGATACATTTTTAAGGAAACCTACATCAGGTCAGATTCTAAACAATTAGTAATTTCTTCTAAAAATTTAAATTGTGAAGACAAAAGTCAGTGGAAATTAAAAGTTATCTCCTCAATTAGAAGTAGAGAGTACATGAAAAAGGATTCAGTCATTCTATATTTGTTGTCAACAAATCCCATGAAAAGACCAAAACCAACATGTGTTCAACATCGACTTCTCTACTGTCTGTGGCACTCAACATCAAGTCTATTGATTCATACTGGAGAAGTACATCTTTAAAAATGGGTTGCAAATACTGTACATATTTTATACTTTATTAAAAGGCTAAACAGGCACTGTAGTTTGTAGCCTTTGTTACTCCAATAGGTGTAAAGTGTATGTTGGGAACTATTTTAATCACTATTTTTGTTGCTATAGTGAGTATTAGGATAATGTTTGAAAAATAAACTAGACAGCTTACCTTCACCGTAATACAGGGTTATGTCACCCAGTACAACGGTGTGGAAGAAGCTGTATGAGGCTTCGGATACGTGGACATTATTTGTAATTATAGTATTCATTGTTCAATTAATTGCTAATAGACTCTCTGTATATACAACCAATCCATTAATGCCACTGAACAGAAGTAAAATAATATAAAGAAGTGTGACCAACTCACCTCTGTCAAGCTTGAAAAACCAGGCTCTCCATCACTGTGCGGCTGTCATGTCTGGTGCTGTAGAGCTCTGGCAGCATGCTTCGCCTCCTGGAAGCAGACTGTTTGATCAGATCACAAGACTGCACTAAATATGCATGTCCTTCTGAATATCTGCTATCTCTCCTTCAATAGAGGAAATTTAATAAGCTTCTGGACGCAATCTTTGTTCTCCTTGCTCTCCAAACATCATCTCCCAGCAACGGTTTAAAAGCTCGCTGTGATGTAGGTGGAAATGTGTTGCAATAACTTTTTGTGTGAATGGTCTTCACAGACAAAGAGAAAGGCAGGTGCTGACTTGTAGTCTGTAGTGTATTTACAGATGAGGTTGAAATTAAGTCCTGGAGCCTACAACATTTATGAGGGCTTACCTCAACATAATCTGATTATGCAGCAAAATTTTTTATTTTATTTATATGGGTTCTGCATTAAAGATAAAAATAAAAAAAAACATTGTAAAAATACAATTCTAAATAATCAAAGAAGCAGTAAATGTGCTTTATCCATGAGGAAAAACTTTTAATATAATTTAATGTTTACAAATTAAACCAAACCTTACAAATAAAAGATGTTTATATGAGTCAACTTGCAAGTTTGGGAAATTTAAGAACCAAAACATGAAAGCTTATTTTACACTGATCCACCAAAGTGACTTCAGGTTACTATCAGCATCATCTACAGTTATTACAGTAGAATAGAAGTGTGACTTACCTGTTTGACATGTTTCCTAGTTCTGGCAGCTGACGTTGGTGTCCGACTTGGTTACTGAGGATTACAAACTGCCCAAGGAAACAGACAGGCTCAGTCTGCAGCCTATGGAGCCTCTTAGCTTCCCTGTGGTCTATCATCCAGTCAATATGTATCAAAACCCCTCCCACCAGCCCCGTTTTTATAATGTCTGTCTACACAACAATGTTCTCAACAACAAACTTGTAATCTGCATGTTGATCCGTGCACCCATCCGTACATGATCTGTGGCTGATCTGAACATTAAAGACACATTAAGACCAGATCAGGTTTATCAAGTGGTTCATGTGCAAGTTTGTATCCACAGTAGCACAGTATACTCAGTAAGACTCGGTGTGTTTATCTTTGTTGAATGTTTTCAGTAATGGAGTCATCAGCATAGCAAGTTATTTAAACACAAGGAGATCAGTATTATTCTTGAAATCTTTTTGTATTTTCTTATTTTATATTTCATGTTCACTTTGCATTATTAATATTTATTCTTTTATTGTTTCCTTATGACCTCTTCGATTTTGACATATTGGTTTATTTAGCGATCTAACTCCAGATTAGTGCATGATTCAGCATGTCTACCCTTGTGAATATTGCAAAAGTATTTTTTGTGTGTGTGTAAGTTTGTGATTATGTTAGAAAGTCACAAGTTTTGTGGTGGTATTCAAATCATTTACTTACGTAAAAGTTGCAACATCACACCATTAAAATACTCCATTACAAGTAAAAGTCCTGCATTCAGCAAGTCAATGTATGAAAGTATTACCCTATTTTGTAAACTGGGCCAACAAGTCCATTTGTTTTGTAAGTAAAATCTTAATCTGGAAAGTAACAAGTAACTTTAACTGTTAAATAAATATAGAGGAGTAAAAGTATGAAGTAGCACAAAATATATAGGTTACTCAAGTACAATACCTCAAAATTGTGCTTCTGTACTGTACTTAGTACCTTCTTTATTAATAATGCAAGCATCCTATTGTTTTGTCATGAGTTTATTTTTGGTTTTATTTATCACATCACTTCCTGCCTTTTCTCTATTTCTAGACACACATCGAACTTTTCACAGCCTCTCGATACCTTGTTCTTCATGCCATTGAGTGCTTTTATTTGAGCACATATTGAGCATATCTAATCAAATCTGTTATGGCTTAACAGTTGTGAGAACCCACGTGCAGGACACAGCACACACACTCAGGGTCAGCTACTTGAGTTAAGCAGGATTTATTCACACAAAGCAGAAAGAACTTGGCTGGAGGGTGACCGACAAAGTAGCTGAGTCTCTACGGTCTGTGCTGCAAATGTTGAGGCAGGTATTTGAAGCAGTGCAGATTGAAGATGATTGGCGACTGGTGAACCGACTCCTGTATGCCTGACTCAACTCCTGAAATCAGAGGGAGAGAAACAGAGCAACTCCCCACTAGGCAGAAACAGAGTGCATGACAAAATCAATAATCAATAAGCTTTGGCATGGCATTTAAATGTCTTGCATGTTTTTTCTTTTGTTTGTTAAATTGTAGGTTTTTTGTCTGTATTAAATGACTACCCACTAAACTGACATCTTTACATGTTCACTGTAAATTACTTCTTTAAATGTATGGAATCCTATTGAAGCCAAGAACAAAATGTTGTAAGTACAAGACGGCGTCTTAATGTACAGTACATGCCGCATGTAATGTGTTTCTAAAGGAGTAGTGATCATCTTGCACCCACCCCTTGCTCGTCAGTAAATAACAAAGATCAGATAAAGGACATCCTGCATAATATATTTCACTGTTTTTGTGCAAAAACTTTTTAACTTTAATGGCTTTTTTTTGTCTGTTTTGTTTTGACTATATATTTTGTTATCTTTTTAAGTATAAGATGCCCATTCCTTGATAACAGATAACAATTCTTTAGCAAATTATTTGAACACTGATGATGATTTGCTGATGCTCATGAGCACAAACATGACAACCATTTGATTTACAAAACTGATTCTTTAACATTTGCTGTCATTGACTTCCCTGTAGCTGAACGCATGTGTGGTGCTGTAAGTTAGAAGCATTTTTTCTTTATTCTCCAAAGACAACAAACAAACATGTATAAACATTGTACTTTATTTTGACCGACAATTTATGAACATTTTACTATTAAACTACATTAAGTATGCAAATTAACATGTTCAGAAATCAATCAATGAATGCATAAATATTTATTTATGTGTATCATTCATTTCAAATGTCACATTTTTTACAAACCTTTATGCCTCAGTTCACATGTTTGAGGGAAAGGCACACATGTAACTAATAACATTAATGTTATGTTCCATTTTGGTGTGCCAATGAGCCTTGCAAGTGAGCCAGGGTCCTGTCAAAATGCAGCCATAATTCACAATATTAGTTGCATCTATGTTTAACAAGTCAAAATATCTGCTTTGGATAAGGTCTGCTCACAGGTCAGCTTGTCTTGTATTTGGTCTTTATGGGAAAAAAACCCACTGAAAACACTTTCCAAAAGAGACCAAGACATATGTTGAAGTGATTCCCCTGTTACAGCTTGGAGCAGTAACTGACTGACACCAGATGGAGCCATTTGTTACCAAACTAATTGTCTGACGTAAAGTTCAGCACTGTTTTCCACTGACTGGTTTAAGACATGCTCAATTGTCGAGTTTGAAAAAGAACACTTCTTCCACTTCAAAATTGTGCAGATTCCTTGGCCAAAAACTTGGATTTCCAGGTCTGCTAAGAGTTCCTTTTTACTGACAAGTTGGCAACACCTTCAGCCATTCCCCAGAGTGAAACAGGAAAAGCTGCACAATGAGTCACTTTTTATCATGGGTTTCATCAACATCCCAAAAAACAGCTTTGGTCGTCACCTATTTTCTTTTTAAACATTTGATATAAAGAAAAAAAAAATGTTGGTACGAGATGGCACAGTGGGATGTAGCTTTGATTGAAGTCAAACACTTTGAAGTCATTTTGCCCTGAAATGACACACATTAACTAGATCATCTGCCATCTGGGGCTGTTGGAAGGCACACACAAAGGATGGTTGACTGTCCATGAATGTTTTTATCCTTCTTTTGGAATTGTCACGATTATTTCCCCCCAAATTCCTGAAGTCTCCACCTGCTGTGATCTCACTCCTGACTTATTTTAGTCACCTCGGCCCCTGCCTGGCTCCTGTCAGACTGTGTAGGTGGCGCCCTGACATTTGCAACACCCTTAGTGCTATGAAAACGTTGTTGACACTCCTCAATGTGGCTGAATGTGCTTTGCCGTCCACAGATTCTTCCCATGATTCCCCTTGACACTGCTGGAGACAGCATCAACATGACTGCAGGCTCCAGGAAAACATTACAGGAGCTCGTCAGCATAGCATATGTCCTCCATTCAATATTTTTGTTCAACACAAACCCCACGATGTGCGAGGCGTTGTAGGGTGCATAGCACACCACAAACACAGCCAGTGTGGACAGTGCAACAGTCAGGGCTCTTCTCTTCCCCATAGGGCGCAAATTTGAGCGCCACACCAGGGTAACGCAGCGCAGCGTGCAAAAAGACGTCACAATAAGAGGCAAAAGAAACAAGACGATGGCCATCTCCAGGCGTAGAGGCAGCAGAAAAGCCAGCTGGGAGGCATTGAAGTGGTCGTAGCAGGCTGAGGTGTCATCCTTAATGAAGACAAAGTTAGCCCCTCCCTCAGCCACTAGGCCAAAACTGAGATGAAGGAACACAAAGGCCCACAATGCAGCACTGATGAAGCAAGAGATTCGAGCCCGGCGGTATCTCTTGTAGATAATTGGGAATGCGATGCTGAGGTAGCGCCCCACTGTCACAGCGGTGATGAACAGGCAGCTGCCATACAGTGAGGAGAAGAGGAAGAAGCTGTAGACGGGGCAGACGGGTGCTGGCAGCCTCCACTCCTGAAACAAAGTCTCCAGAGCTTTGACAGGCAGCCAAGCCACAAGTGCCAAGTTGGCCAGGCACAAGTTGAGGGCGTAGACCACGTTGGGTGTGGCGCCACGTTTGCGGGCCTTGCGCACATACACAAACAGGACCAGCAGGTTGGCAGGAAGACCCAGCAGGAAGGTGAAGATGTAGACAGAGAGAGCGATGAAAACCTTGTACAGCATCTCTTCAGTTTAGGACATGGTGAGAGGCATGGTGGGAAGTCCAGCAAAAAGGTAGCACTGCCTCCAATTTACCATGATGGGGATAAATCTTTAGACAAACTCAAGCTAAACAGGAAAGTCTCGACCAAAACAAGCAAACAAACTGATTATTTGTCGACTAGGTAGATGCACAGTTGTCCTTGTGTCCTCTCAAATTATAAACCACATCTTTTAAATGACAGATTCTCCATTTGTGGCAGCAATGTCCAAGCTGGTAAGAGAGCTGCTGTAGTGCCGAGTTTCTCCATCATGTGCAGACTCAGCTCTAAGACAGGTGACAGCAGGGGAAAAAAAGAGGCGGTGGTCACAAAAGTGTTGATGCATGTGGGCATGAAGGGGGCGAGGTGCACACGACATCATGACAGAGATGCAGATAAGGAGACGCATCCACTCATGCAGAAGTAGGGGGCATTTAGCAGGCACCAGGCTGCCTTAATTGCCCTCTCAGCGTGGTGGGCAACAGACAGGTAGCATCTGGGCCCTTAAGTGAAATGATTCAGAATAATTCAGCCTGTCAGGAAGCACCTAGCCGTCTCCTTAAGGCTGAGGCTGTCTAAATGAACTGGAGGGCAGTAAAGTCATAAATGTGCTGAAGTTGATGGTGGATGCGAGGACAGGATGGATTGGGCTTTGGGAAACGGTGATGTTTGTGGCATGATGGCACTTCTCACAGTTTTATGGGTGGGTGGAATGAGTTCTTTAGTGTGTTTATGTGTGAAAGTGGGTGTGAGAGAAAAATGGGTGTGCCACGCAAAAGCCGTTTGGTGAAGAAAATGGAGCAGAAAATCACTCTGACTTGTTTTATTAGAGCAGAATGACAGATACCAAGAAATGTTTGTCCAAGAAAAGACCTGCAGCAGTTCAAAACATGGCTGTTAGCCGTTTGATTAGTCTATTGATCCACTGTTCAAAACAAATGTGTTTGTAGTTACTCTTCTGATATATTGGCATGAATGTTTGCAAAGTAATGACTACATATTTACATGACTTATTAGCTGCAGCTAAAGTGACATTAGCACAGACTTCAGTCATCACTCATATGTTATGTTTTTCAGGATGCCTCAGGAGGTTGCAGTGGGTATTTCCAACCTGAGGGCCATTTAATTAGTCCCAGCTAACTTGTCAATCACAATAGCTAGAGCATTTAATGACATCTTGTCTCAATAATTAATTTTGCTCATACAGTGCACTCTACTATTCGCAAATACAGTGTCTTGATGATTACACCCCTCACATTTGTGTAAATATTTCATTATTTCTTTTCATGTGACAACACTACAATGCTACAATGTGAAGTTGTGAGTGTACAACTTGTGTAACAGTGTAAATTTGCTGTCCCCTCAAAATAACACATCACACAGCATTTAATGTCTAAACCACTGGCAATGAAAGTGAGTACACCCCCAGGTGAAAATGTCCAAATTGGGCCAAAGGAGTCAATATTTTATGTGGCCATCACTATTTTCCAGCACTGCCTTAACCCTCTTGGGCATGGAGACCAGAGCTTCACAGGTTGCCATTGGAGTCCTCTTCCACTCCTGCATGACGACATCACGGAGCTGGTGGATGTTAGAGACTTTGCGCTCCTCCACCTTCCGTTTGGGGATGCCCCACAAATGCTCAATAGGGTTTAGGTCTGGAGTCATGCTTGGCCAGTCCATCACCTTTACCCTCAGCTTCTTTAGCAAGGCAGTTTTCGTCTTGGAGGTGTGTTTGAGGTTGTTATCATGTTGGAATACTGCCTTGTGGCCCAGTTTCCGAGGGAGGGGACCACGCTCTGCTTCAGTATGTCACAGTACATGTTGACATTCATGGTTGCCTTAATGAACTGTAGCTGACAGGCTGACCCCCCACCCTCTGCAGCAATGCTAGCAGCACTCATATGTCTATTTCCCAAAGACAACCTCTGGATATGACGCTGAGCACGTGCACTCACCTTCTTTGGTCGACCATGGCGAGGCCTGTTCTGAGTGGAACCTGTCCTGTTGAATCGCTGTATGGACTTGGCCACCGTGCTGCAGCTCAGTTTCAGGGTCTTGGCAATCTTCTTATAGCCTAGGCCATCTTTATGTAGAGCAACAATTCTTTTTTTCAGATCCTCAGAGATGTAGTGTGAGAGCGAATTCACCAAATTTAACACACCCGCTCCCCATTCACGGCCGGAGACCTTGAAACATTAACGAGTCACATTGCACTGGGGAGGGAAAATGGCTGATTGGGCCAAATTTGGACATTTTCACTTCGGGGTGTACTCACTTTTGTTGCCAGCAGTTTAGACATTAAAGTCTGTGTAAGGTGTTATTTTCAGGGGACAGCAAATTCACACAAGCTGTACACTCACTACTTTAGATTGTAGCAAAGTGTCATTTCTTCAGTGTTGTCACATGAAAATATGATCAAATATTTACAGAAATTTGAGGGGTGCACTCACTTTTGTGAGATGCTGTATATCCACTAAATTCAGAGCTCAATATATTTGCAAAGTTGCAAGCAAGAACTAATCCTTCATTCTTTGACCAGAGGCTTAGCCATGTGAGCTGGATGATAATGAAACAGTTAGTGAGCTAGACTGAATATTATAAATGACATTGTGGCCACACTTTACAACAGTTAGATCCTAGTTAGTAACTTTATTGTAGTGAATGGGTCTTCACTGTGTTGTCCTACACCGTTATGTTGCATTATTGTATATTATGTGGGTCACGGTGGACAAGCTGTGTACCTGAGTATCAGTAACTCAGTAATAAATCTAAATTTGAGGTCCAAGCTAATGTAGTTGGCTGCTCCTGCCTTGCCACACAAGGCTAGTATAAACAAATCGCTCCACATTTACTTACATGGTTACATCATTTCTTGCAGGCTAAAATCAACAATCTCACAGAATACCAGTGGTACGCAGGATATTAATATGGATCGCGTTAATTGGTGAAGTAATGTAGAAAGCAATACATCTATGTATTTTGCACTGGATAACGATAGCAACTGGTCAGCGTCAGCCGGCAAGCTAACTTTATGTAACGAGCCAACTAAAGCACAAAATCACAATATATTTCACATGATTTCCAGTAATGTTAGTTTACCTGTCCAACAGGAAAAAGGACAACTCTGTGTTGGTTTTGTTGATTTCAAAAAGGCTGTAAAATGTGTATTTGGCACTTCAGCTGCTGTCTGTGGTGCTGATCCAAGGCTGTGGTGGAGTCGTGTGTCTGTACGCCCGTGTACACAAGGTGCTTTTTGGGGGGAGGGGCCCAAGGAAAAAAATTGGACCGGGTCAAATCACAATGACGTTACGCTGCTGGACACTAATTGAGCCAGTCCTTACTGACATTAACATAACATCACATTGTAAGTTCATGTGGCATACTTGTTAGCAGTTGCTTATTTACACGTCCAGCAGATACAGAACAACATTATCATTCATTTGGAGTCATGTTTCTAACACACCTGATAAATGTAAGTCCAATGTAAGTCCTCTTTTGGCTTTGTTTTTGGTCTTCTCCAAATTCTAAAGGAAGCATCTGTCTTTTTAGCTCCTAAATGCTCCTCTGTGTAGTCGCTCTGTCTGTCTGCTGTTTGGTGCTGAGCATATAGAGTACAGTTAGAGCTTTATTCACAGAAAGCAGTTGCCTGCAGAGGCTGAAAACACTGATTCTAATCAATTGCTAGCGTAACCTGGAACCTTTAAATTTTTTTTGCACAGCAGATCAAGTCAACATGCAACAATGTGAAATTTGTCAACATGAAAGCATACAATTGCATTATACTTTGATTTATCTGAGAAGATCTCACTTTCTAAATGTTCAGAGACAAGACAAATTTCTTTCTCTGCTAAATCCTCATAAAAATGCAGCAACTAACACAAATACATCCATTTGAAGACATTACGACTGAGGCAGGTGAGAGTTACTAGGGTTTTATTGTCTCAGGCACCATGTTTAGTACCTGTTTATCCGATTTTTTATCTTAACCGCGTATACTGCATGAGTCAAGGTTCACGTCATTAGCACCATCTTCATGCTCCAAACAGCATCAGTTGATCAAACAATATGACGAGGCCAAACAAAGCCATTAAAGCTAATGGTCGATAAAAGTAATGACCTTAACACACATGTGAGCACGTGAGCACTTCCACTTGGGAATTTTTGCATTCAATCACTAAATTTTCAAAAAGGAAAACCTCAAATGGATCAATAGTTTCAGATGCTAAAACAATCTTTATGAATACATCTTTAATTAAGACTGCAGGAAACAAGCACATAATTGACATTTTATACATAATTTAGATGTTTTTTTGTGAAAGTTAAATAGACACAGGTAAATCACATAATTGATCATTTAAGACAAGTAAAAGCATATTAACCACATGTAAGAAGGTCTACGAGAATATTTTTTGCAAGAGGATGACAGTTCTTGTTAAAATAAATAAATGAAAATACAAGAAAATGTTTTGTTCAAAGCTAAAATTAATGAATCATCCTAATACATTTGTTGTTTCATCCCTTCCCTTCAAAAACTGGATACCATTGCCTTACTGAGCCAGCAGCTGCAGGTGGCTCCTCCCGCTGGAGTTTGTGAGCGGGACCATCAGCACCGGGGTTTTATCAGTGCCGGAGGTGGATGTGAGGCGGGTCCGGGTGTTCATGCTTCGTTGTTCCAGAGACAGAGCTTCCTGTTTTCTGGAAAGATCTTGCAGCATGCGAGAGTGATGGAGCTTCATCTTCTGCAGGGAGTGCCTGAGTGAGAACAGGATGGATGAAACAAGCAGCGATGAAAGCTTTAGAGGGATTTCTTTCCTTTCTGGTAATCAAAATACTCTTGTAGGCCTATAGTAGGCCCTAGTGGCTTATCGGTTTAGTTTGCTGGGTTTAAAACATCACTATGTCCAGTGCATAGTGTAAAAAGAAAATATGTCTTAACTATAAGCTCCACTTGGTGATCATAGCAGCAAAACTCTGACTCACTGAGCCTCAGACAGCTTCTGTTTCAGAGCCATGATCGTGGCCTCCAGCTGATTGACTTCATTAACGAGGCCGTGCTGCACCTTCAAACAAACAGGAAGGAAATGATCAATCAGGATGAAGCCTCCTAATGTTTTTTAAAACATTAAAGTGACGACTGCTGCTACTTCCACTGCTGCTATTAATATTCTATATTTGATATACTACAGTATTGGCTTTATTTAAACCTCGTCTCTGCACAGGTCCATGCCAGGTCTGTTGGTCCTGTTCTCCAGTCTGGTGTGAGCCAGCTTGAGGGAGGCTGTCTTTGCCTGCAGATCTGTATCCAACCCGTGGATGTCGCTCTCCATTTCTGCCATTTCATCTTCAGTCTACATTCAGATGTACAGACAGTCAGAAACACTTTTCTATAATCAATAATCTCTTGGATTGGAAGGATAATGGCTGGATTAAGACTTCTTTGAGCCCCTGAGTGTTAAAAACTCTAAAATCCGTAAAACTAACCTTCAGTCAAAAAGATAAATACCTGAAAAATACACACTATTAATAACATTATCATTTTTATTATTCTCTTACATTTCTTATTTGCCACTCCAGCTCATCGCGGGCCTGCTCTTCATGGTGGTGACGCTTACGAAGAGCAAACTCTGTGGCCCTGAGCTGAGTGTTCAACTCATTCTGCAGCTAAAAAATAGAAAATAGATTGAATAAATAAATTGATTGCAATCATATCCTTTAAGATCCCTTGCGTTGATATTTGTGTTTAGATTTCACATTGTATTAAAGGAGTTAATTTGTCATATTGTTTTGGATTTGTCAGAAAGGACATTACTAGAAATGCAATGGTAACTTATCTGCACTTTACGTGCCATATTTTTTCAAAACAAACACTACACAGCCAATACTACACGAGCAGGTGTAGTTACATCACACACACCTGAGCTCTGGTGAGACTCATGTCTTCCCTCTTTTGCTGTGACACCTGCATGGCCTCCTGGGCACGAGCCACATTATACTGGCTGAACTGGAGCCACTCTTGGGGGGTGGAGGAACTACATCAACGACAACATTTGTGCATGTTACTCAATGAAGCATGAGAAAATTAAGCATTATTCTACAGTATAATCCTTAAAGGATTACGCCAGGATATATCGTACAATGAGAAACTTCTCTGCAATTATGAGTCAAAATCCCATTTATCAGTAATCTAAGAGTTTAAAATGCTGTCAATAAGAGTTTTAGCAAAATAGTTAAACTGCGGATGTAAAAATCTAAAAACCCGGATGGTATGCGAGTTGGGTTGGTCTTCAGCGAGATCTGAGGTGACTTTATTGTAAGTGACAGGCAGGACATATCAATGTCCAGCGCGTCCATCTTGTTCTGGAGGTCAGCTGTCAGCTGATGCCGAACTTCCTGCAAAACACTGGGAACCAGAACAAAGAGAGGTGGTCAGAGAAAAAGAAGAAATGGTCCATCTGCAAGTTTTGCATCACACCATAGCGTCTCTTACCACAGTTGCTCGAAGGCTTTGTCTATGTTTTGCTGCAGAACTTGCTGCACTCTTTCAATCAGCTCCACTTCTTTTTTCAGCTGCTCATCCACGGGGTCAGTGACAAGCTCGTAACCTCGTCGTCCGTCCCTCAGGGTCAAGCATTCACTACTGACCTCCAGGGGAACAGCAGTGGCAGCCAGGGCCTGCTCGGTTTGCTCTTTAGACTGTCCGAACACACATCAATGCTGAGGTCACTACGCTGTCAGACTAAAAAGTGAAGTTTGTAAGAACATGACAAACTAACACCTACATACTCACAAGTATGATCATTATCTACTGAAGGGCACACCGTCGACAATTTTTAATTGACTGAATACTCGAAGCAAAACACACAAATACATCCACACATGTATAAAAACATATGTGGGTCTCTGACTCCTTTATACTTTTATGAACAGAAAATGAGACAAGCACTCAGTCGTTTCAGAGGTTTCTGGACAAATCACCACGGTCAGAGCCTCCATCTCTTCATCCACTTTCTGTGCGCAGGTTTCTAACGCCTCTTTCCACCGAGCAACATCCCACACCCGGTCACTCAACCTGCGAGAGGTATCGCTTTCATCCCAGGTTGTCTACAGAGAAAAGGTGCAAGAAAATGCACGGGAGGCTGATCAAATGTGGAGGAGTTTTCTTCATCCAGTAGTACAAAACTAACACAGTTAATCTTTATAGTGGGCATCCTCACAAACCAGAACCCACCTTGCAGTTGGTCTCGTTGCGTAGGGACCTCCCTTCCTGTCGAATCATATTTGAAACATGTCGCTCATGTTGTGCTGTGGCAGACAGCTGGTGGTTGTTGCTGTGCCACTCTGATACACTGTGGCGCAGGCCAGGCTTTGCAGGAAGTGCAGACATCCTTCTGTTGCAGAAACATGTGAACATCACAATAATTGTATTTGCCAAGTGTCGTTACATGTGCAGGATTTGTTTTGGTGACACTCTCACAGAAGCATATTGATACCCTTGTAAACACAGACGGACATGGTAAAAGTCCAACAGAGCTACTGTGGCATGCAGCACAAAAAGACAGTGAGAGATGATGCAGCAGAATTTGCATTAGTAGTCAATATTTTCAATCATTTAACACACACCTGTTTTCAAATATTAACAAGTGAGTTTCCTAAATGACTAATGTATTAGTCAGTAAGTATTTGGCCCTTGGCAATATTGGTGCACAAACTCAGCCAAGATGGACTCTGTTTCCCAAATGTCAGGCTTTTTAATGTGAAGATTGTTTATTATTTTGCACAAGAGCCAACAGAGTGTGTCGACCTCCGTAATTTATGCAGCACGCTTTGGAACGGGAGGGGTGAGTGGTGACTGATGGTGCATTCAGGTGGTGTCGAAATAATCTGAATTTCTTCCCTCTCCTTAAATCTTTATTGCAAAAAGAGGAATAAAGTGTACATGGGACATAAAGAAGTATACAGAACAGTATACAAATGTATAAGAAAACACAAATAACATAAAATTTGCCAGGGGTAGTCTATATTATATAAAGAATTTGAAAGAGGACCATATATTCACAGTTTTCTCAGCCCTTCTGTTGTTGGATTTAGAAATTAAATTAATATAATGTACAACCCCATGGAGAAAAGGTACAGGTTGTTTTTTACAACTGAATTTACAGTTGCCATTTGAATTAATACATTTATTATAAAGCACTTATTTCGCGTGAGGAGCAAGTCAATGCACAATGAGCTGTTGGTTGCAATTTGCAACTCTCACCACTAGATGCCACTAAAGCTTACACATTGAACCTTTAAGTAGTTAGGCTATTCTTAGCACCACCTGGACTTTCAATATCACTTAGAATAATATAATTTAATATTGTATGACAATGACAATCTTTTAAGTGACTCAGAGGTGAGTGTTGTGTTACCATACCATTCATACACAGTTCATGTATAATGTACATTTTGTGGAGTGGAGTTTGGTAGTAGAACACAACATGTGGTATAGGTGAGAGACAATCGAGGAAATGGAACTTGTAATCAGTGGTGGACGAAGTATTCAGATACTTTACTTAAGTGAAAGTACTAATACCACACTGTTACAAGTAAAAGTATTTAAGTATACTTGAAGTATTAAAAGTAAAAGTACTCAATGCAGAAAAATGTCAATGTTATACTATTTTATATCATTAGGTGATTATTTTTCATGCATTCATTCAAAAGCAGGATTTTACTGTTGTTGAGGTGAATCTCGTTTTAAAATATTTTGTACCAGACTGAAACCAACAATTATTTTCTTTCCAGATTCATCTGCTGATTATTTTCTCCATTAATTGATTGATTGTTTGTAAAAAATAAAAATAAAAAAAAAGAAGAAGAAGAAGAAAATAGTGACAAATGTCATCACAATAACCCAGAGCCCAAAGACACACTTTCACAATGCTTGTTTTTTTCAATAAACAGTCCAGACCTCAAAATTATTAAAAATACAGTTAAATTATTCAAATAATTAAAGGGGAAAGCAGCATAACTTCACATTTGCGCAACATTTTTTTTTTATGATCAAAATAGTTTCCAATTTTATGTCAGTTGACTTAATCGACTAATTATTTCAGCTGTACTTGTCAACTGTTAGCTAGTTTCATTTTTAACAAAACATATTTATATATTCTTCATATTTTTTGCTTGTAAGAATGTGCAAAGGAACAAGTAACTAAAGCTGTAAGAGAAATGTGGTGAAGTAAAAAGTAGCCTACAATATTTCCCTTAGAGATGTAGTGGAGTATAGTTTCACAGTGGTATGACAAAGGCTACTCAAGTTAAGTACAAGTAGCTACCTCTAATTTGTACTTAAGTAAAGTACTTGAGTAAATGTACTTTACTGTTACTGTCCTCCACTGCTTGTAATGACAGATATTAACATCACCGACATGACGAGGGGAATCTCTTTGAAGCAAAAAAAGGCTTCATGATATCTTATGTGTTCTCATAAAACCCTTCTCTAGAGCTCCACGGGCTTTAGGCCATGAGTGTTTGGTTACTCCCAAACACTTGTCTTCTCATACAGCTGCTATTATACAGTCTCAAACACCGCGATAACTTTAAATCTCACTTCATAAGTTTCTTGTCACTACATTTTTACTCACCGGGATTCTAGAATGTTAGGAAAGCCGGCGCGTGCTGGTTTGTCTGGAGCAGGTTTTCTAACAAGTACTCGAGCCGTCTCCAGGCAACGAGGTGACACAACGTTCCACAGAAACGTTTTAATAATTAAAAATGTGACGTGACGACGTAAACGACGACGTAAACAACGTTCTCGGTGATTCGAATTCTTCTGTGCCGCCATCAGCCGACAGGAAACGATAATATTAACATATTAACATGTGGAGGAGAAGACAAAAACCAACACAAACTAGATTGTTGTCTAGCCCTAAACAGATTATGAAAGGGCAGGATATCTCTACTGTCAGAGATATCAAGCAGAGGCAGCTTCTTACCAATTAGACTCAATGATCTTTGCAATTGAATAGGGGAGACCATAGGACAGGTGTGGCGGATTATGAGAAATTCCATCTATTAATACCGGATTTCAAAGAACTTGAGGATAACAATAATTTAATAATAATCCTAGGAGAAGGACATAGGGGAGACCGGGTATGGTTGTAACATGGGTAGAGTTGTAACAACACCAGCTGCACCAATTAGAGATAAGATAGGAGTTACATGATCATTTCAGTATTTACCTACTTCCTCCCCTATGAGGCATGGTGGTTATCAAGGCTGGAAACAGGCACTGAATATATAGAGAAAAACAGATTCTGAGGTCAGAAAGTACATTTTTTGACCAAGACTATATTTTGTTTAGTATCTATACTATTGCAGATAACATTGTTTGATTAATATTAGATTGAAATGTAGTTTCTTAGGCAACATGTGATGCATTTTTTCCTTTCTAATTTCAAACCACTATGCTAATACAGCTAGCTAAACATTGGCTGACAGGGGTGGGGTGGATTGTAACAGTTCTTTAAAAAGTGTCACTGTCCTATACATACAACTAGGGACTTTCTTGATTTTAATATTTTACCCTTTGCAGTCTGGGCCCACCAAGCCTGCACTCCAGGGTTACCAGCATTCATTTGTCAGCTCTGTAACCAGTACTCCCCACTCACATGTAGCTAGGGCTGGGCAATAAAACAGTGATAATTATCGCAATATAATTTTCCTCAATAACAATATTATAAATGTTCAATATATCGTCAATAAATATTTGCTTTAATTCATTTGAATCACAAACAATAGCTCTTCATTTTTCTATTAAAAGTTTTATTTTGTTGAAAAAAAAGATCAACTAATCACATTTGTTGAAAACGAATAGCATTTGTTGAAAATAGAATAGTTTTGAATGTTCTACCTTTAGACTTGTGAAGTGATTCACTGTTTGGCATCAAGTGTTTGTCACATTCTGACCATAAAGATAAGTTTAACCACATAATTAACCATCTGGTTTCTTCAATTTTCACTCAGGAGCACAAATCTGCCTTTAAACTTGAAAGAAATAATGATTTGACATATATCGTGATAATTATCGATATCGAATGATATGAAATGTTTTTATCGTGATAACATTTTTGGCCATATCGCCCAGCCCCACATGTAGCTCACATTTTGGTGTATGAATCTTTTCCATACTCCGTCTCCGCCGGTGGAGAGGGCAGAGATGTGCCGGCGTGCGAGAAAAACTCCCTGTATGCCAAAGTGTAAAATGTAGAAGTGCTGGTACTGCTTACCGATGAGTACTGGCTCACTTCAAGCACTGACTGTAACTCTGATTAAGAATATACACACATTGACACACACCTCTTTTTTGTTAGACCTAAGGATGTACAAAGATGTTGTTTAATTTAGTACATTGTAGTAGTATTTATTAAATATACTGTTAAGTAAGTTTATTCTATAGATAAATTTACACACACGTGCGTGAGTCATCAGACATGGTCTGTTACAGTGAGAGAGAAACGTTGCTCTTTTATATAACTACCTGTTTTTTAAGCATATCATATAGTGTGGCATCTATTTTTGCTTCTGTTGTCTTATTGTTACAACCTACCCCAGCATGTGTTACAACCTACCTCGGTAGTGCATTTGACATCAACTCCCTGTGATATTCTTGTAGAGGATTGAATTGGTGCCATTTGTAGTGAACAAATGTGGGTACTTTGTATAAAAGTTTGAGAACTCCAGTTAAAAAATTCAGCGAGTTATAATTGCTGAAACAAAAAGTGTTACAACCATACCCAGTCTCCCCTACGGCAAACCTTGCCGCCAAGTATGTGTCCCTGTAACACAACCTGAGGGACAGCGAACTGGTAGGTTCATATTCAAAACGAGGTCAAAATACTGAAATAGAAAAACAGAAAAGACAAGTTAAATTTAACATCCTGGAAAACCTGGAAAACAGTTGACCGATTTCCCAGTCATGAAAAAACACATGGACAATTAAAGTAAAAGTAAAAAAGTTAAATGTCCTGGAAAATCTTGTGTTGTCCTGTCATGTTGTGGTTGCTCGGTTATGTTGCTGTTGTTGTGAGTCACATCGCATGGTAGCACAGCAGCACAAAAACCCCCAAAAGACTAAAAAACATAAACAACAATAATACATAGCGTTAAAACAAGCTAATATCCATATGTCATAATTTCTAGCATGTAATCAGGGGTCTCGCACAGAAATCTAGGCCCTGTATTTAAGCATTCTCTATGGGCCCACAAAGATTGACTATCTTTGTGAGTCCTCCTCACATTAGGGAGCTATATACTCTATAGTCCCCTTCGAGCATATTAGTGTATGACGTAATCCCTATTTAACATACCACTATATCATCACTGAAAAAGTCCTGGAAATGATCTCTAGACAGGAGTGGGAACCCTGCTTAACCTTGTGGGAAATATTTTCTGACCCAGCAGAGGTTTTTTTTTACCACAACCTCCAATGTGTCTTGGTTGCTGCAACTTGAAATAATTGAAAATGTAGGCAACAAGTGTGAGAAACAACACTCAGGTATAAACACTTCTGTTTTATTGTAGTATCAGAATTAGTCATGCCAGTGGTTATATTTCCATGCTGTGGTGACTTTCAGTGTAGACAAAAGCTGGTTTTACAACTATTATCACTCACATCCAAACTACTCTCATCAGCACATCCCTGACCATGGTTGTTTTATGGTCTTCTGTCAGCAGCAAGGGTTCCCAAAGTTTTAAAGAATTAGAGAATATTGCAATAAAAGCCTCCTCGGGTGTTCACTAAAATGCAGCAGGACTAGTGACCCAAACAAATGCCTGTCTCAAACCAAGACCTCTCATGACTGAACCTCTATTTCGGTTCATTACACCAGTGACCTATTAAGCAGATATACCAACAAACCATATTTTAATGCCCATTAAAAAAATGATACACACATTGAAAATCATCTCCATTTATCTGTACATTGCACCTAATGGGGACACAACAGAGATCTAATATATAAAGACTTCATTGAGTCTGGGAACCACTTGCCAGTGCACTATCCCAATTACCTGAGCTATGTTAACACCTAGATTCTCCGACAGGCTTCTATTAAGGTCTTGTACTAAAAATAAGACCTCCAAAGCAGCTTTTACTTTGACTGTCAGTAAAGTATTTTGAATTTACTGACATGGGACTATGTTCATAAAGTTTGTGAGACCTGCCTGGTGCTTGGAGTGTCAGTGTGAATAGGCAGACATTGAAAAGTTACTGCACACAGATCAACTATATATACACATGATCCACTGACAGTAAAACTATCCTTAGAAACAGTGATGAGCATGATCAAAATATTTGATTTGCCCATTATTTGTTTGTAACTGGGGAGAGAGTAAATGCAGAGATCCGCTTTTCTTTCTGTGTACACATTCCTTAAAGACTAATAAATTAAAAGTAAACGGGAGCTATCATTCATGTCACATTTAGTAGTTTCAAACACAGCAAATGTCAACAAAAAAAAGGAATAAAGAGGAGTTTGTGGTACGACGAAAAGGTGAAATCATTAAAAGTAAATTTTCTGTGGCAGGTTCATAATTTAAGAGTAAAAAGAAAGTTTGGTGCAAGTGTGGTGGTGCTGTGCAGAGGTTGTTTTCCTTGAAGCAGAGGTGATTTCAGAGCATTCAGCCTTTGAACAGCTGGAGGTGGAGGTGGCGTTTTGACTTTGCAGTCTTTCAGTGTTCTTCTCGAGCCCTGCGTGTCTTCTTGTGGTCCAATCTTAGATGGAAATTGTCTCTCATTTGTTATTCCTTTCCTGCTATTGTTCAGGTGGGTGGGAGGATGCGACATTGTGTTTGAGATGTTACATGTGTCCAGTCCACAATCACTGTGGTGTTGCATCTCCATTGACTTCTACACCGTGCTGCTGTAGCTGTGCTCGAAGCAGTGCATTATCATTCTTCAGTTCCTCAATCTAGAAAAATATAGATGGGAAGATAACTAGACACATAGAAAAACAGATAGAAAAGAACCAATATAGCGAGTCAAGTTTCACTCACTTTCATCGTCGCAAGGTATTTAAAACAGTAGTTGAAACAATGTGGGTGTATGTTACATTGATAGCGGTATTTACAGGATACTGGCACTGACAGCAAGTAGAAAAGAATTGAAAGAGGCTTTAGATGAGTTACTGTTTAGTTTATTCGTGATAAAATAATTGAAATATTTAACTGTATTGTACTGTATTGTATGGGTGGTAATTGGCAAAATGTGGCCCTGGAGACACATACTGTAGCAGGAAGTACCGCAGAAGCAAATTTGAGTAGATGTTTATATGTAAAAAAATAAATAAAAATAAACTTTACAGGTGTGATGCATGTGGTCTGAGCAAGGGCGCCGAAAGTATCTTGGGTAGGGGGACTAGGGCCCCCCACATTACGTGAGGCATATTGATTAAATCTGACACAGTTCAACTCTTTCGCCAAGCTCATTTCTCTCGTGTCACGTGTTCCACTGAAATGATTTGGTGCCACAACTGGTGTGAGCCAATTTCAAGTTGTTCTCTAGTTAGTTATCAATTAATTTTTCATTTAAATGCAAAATTATTTAACTGGAAAACTGATATAAGCTTGCATTAACATGTGAGGGTATGTGAGGTAATGTTTAAATTTTTTTCTTGGTTGTTTTACATCAGATATTTAAATAAAATGTTTGTTTCTGTTACACAAAATAAAAGGTTATATATGTACATTAAATTTAGGCTGAGGGCACCGAAGTAATGACAGGTTTATATAGGAAGTTCACCTGTTGTCTAAGCAGGTCGTTGTCCATCTCGACGCGCTCCACCTCTTTGTAACTCTCCTGCAGTCGCTGGTTACTCTGACGCAGCTCTCGGATGTAGTCACAAGCTTTGGACAGGATGCCGCCTTTACTCTGAGAAATACAGCACAGTAAGACCTTAAAATACCAAATGTGTTAAATGTGACCCATCCCTTCCTTTATTACTAATAAAAAAAACTTCCCTCCTTTCAGAGCCTTTCAGCCAAAAGCTTGATTACATGTGGAGCAATATCAGATTAATAAAATGAAAAAACACTGCTACATGCCACTGCTAATACAAATGCTACTTAATAGAGCACTGTCTTTGAGTGAGTCCTTGGCTGTGGTTACACCTAGTGTTTCTAGCTGACTTTCAGAATCAGTTATGCAAGCATGCATTAGGTGAAAGGACAGAATGCATAGAGTGCATTCACTCAAGTATGTAAGTGGTCAGGTTAATGAGTCTGGAGGTAACCCAGCTTTAACGTGCATGCATGCAATGTGAAGACGCGGAGGGCAGAACATTTAAAGCGGATGCAAATGTTGAAAGACTACACACATAAAAGCAGTCACTTTCGGTGTGACCTCAAAGAACCCGATCCCCAGAGCCAGAATTAATCTAATCAAAAAAAACCAAGCTTTGTTATAGCCATCTATCATTATTTTACATGCTTTGGAAAAGTTAGGGGCTTTTAGAGAACATTTTGAGGGCTGATTATCTGTACAGGACTCACCGCTCCAGTTCTGCTGTCTACGCTGCAGTCAGGGATGATTTTTGAAAGTGTGACAATCCAGTTGTTGATCTTATCTCTTCTTCTTCTCTCCACTGCAAAGAAGGAAACTACTTTTTTAACCACTGAAGTGTTGTGTGTTTGTATATATATGCATATTAAACAGTTTTTAAAGAGATTAAGATTTATTTCCTTTCACAGTGAAAACTTTTCAAGGCCTTATAAATACACATCAACATGCAACTACCGTCTGTGTAGCATTTGCAAAACACAAGGAAATGTGGACATTTCATTTTTAATAAAGACAGAATTAAGACATACAATAATAGCTTCAGACCCCGATGACCACACACCTTCATTGTGCTGTGCTCTTCGCCTCTCATCTCTGGGCGCCCGTGGACCTTCCACCTTCCTGTACAAGACACAGCAAAACCACTTTGAAAACGAAATTATGAATCAAATAGTCAGATTTTCTAAATTAACCAGATCTGTAACACCTGAACTAGTTGAATTAACAATTAAACATTTTTGCTGGCAAACACATCTAAGCAAAGACCCACATGGTTTTATTAGTCTAATTTGTGGAGGAGGTGCAGACACAACTGAACCTCAGGTCCTCCAAAGGTTTGTGGGATCCAGCCACTCAATTAGGATGTATAATTTGTTATGTGACTTGTTTGTGCTATCAGGATTTAGCCATAAGACATTGCTAGCCTAAAGCTGAAGCTGTCAACATAATTCACAACACAAGGGTGCTGATGATTGATTAGTGAGCCACCAAACGTCTGTCTCTACAACACATGATGGGGGCAGGATGGGGGCGTATGTGAAAGTTCTTCTCACCAGTTTGTACTGCCATGCTGCAACATCTCGCTTTCACCAAGGTCTCTGGGGATGGCAGGTAAGTAGGACAGAGTGTGGTTTTCAGATGTTGGATGTTTTAAATGATGGATATAGATTTTTTTTGTATCTTCATTTGTACACACAAAGACAAAACTAATCATTTCCAAAAGGCGAAAGAAAAGGGAAAGAAAGTCCGATCCACTGTGAAGTTACAGGGAAAGGGGTGAGAAAATGTGGAGAGAAGTTGGCCAAACATGTGGGGGGAGAGTTATGGTGATTTGGTAACTTCAGGGATGGGATGAACGTAGTTTCTTATACTCACGCAGTGTAGGTGTGCGTGCGAGGTGCAATGGTACGAGGGGCCGCCGTCTGCAGCACCTCAGGGGGGCTCATCATCACGTAAAACTGACCTTGATTATAAAATTGACAAAGGTGATGACTGAATTAGAAACTGTCGGATCAGGGATGTGATCAGGTTCAAAGAAGGGGAAGAAAAGAGGAAAAACGGATTTCTTACAATGCAAATAATAATGGAAGCCTAATGATCAACTTGTAAATGTCAACAAAATCTGTCGACACATATATTGAATTCTGTCCTGTTCCTCCTTTTGTAAGACCAGATGTCTGTTTTTCCCTCAATGATTTTGACGTGTCTTCTCACCTCCTGCCTGTGTGATTGCTGGGTCGGCGGTGGCCTGCACCGACACGGCCGTGGCTGTTCCATCGCTGACGGTGGCGGCAGGGAAATAAGCAAAACGTGTCTCTCCTCCCACCGTCTCCCCGCCAGGACTGCCCCCGTTGCTGAAAGGGTTCTGGATAACAGCCTGACAAAGATGAAGACTAATATATAAAATATGGTAAGGCTGTGAATGTCTTTGTACGTGTTCACACATCATAGCAGTTCAGGGTTAGATTATTTTCTGGTATGCTCATAATAAGCATAGTGTAAGCAGAATAAGTAAGCTCAATGTATTTTCAGTGTTGCTATAGTTTTTGGCACATAGGTGGAATACTGTAAAACACCAATAATAGCCTGGGCTTTTATTTGCCTAAATCACTAAACTCACCTGCCTGTATCTGGGAAGGCCTTACTTTCGCACAAAGCAAGTAAGCGCCCTGTATCAAAATACCAGTAAAAACTTGCTGAAGGTTACTGTAGTTATTTCAACCTTTATTTGCACTTAAGAGTGTGAAAAAGATTTTACATGTAAAAAATCAGTTACACCACATTGTCTATTGGGGTATGTAATACCGCCTTAACAACAATAAATTGCTGACACATTCGGACTTTACTTCTTACATCTGCCGGTAAATCTGAATGAAAAAGACTTTGGGGCTCGTTGTTTCTGTAAAATGAACTAACGGTCTAAGCAGCTTAGAACTAGCTGAAGAGGGCGACCCGGTGGGCTTTAAAAGAGGTTTAATACATCCAAAGAACTTCTATAAAAGCAAGATACAGTCTAACTGAGACCTGCATTTATTCATCAAAATGTGCAGCCACACCAGACCAGTAAAAGAGATTAGGTGTCTAATTGGGACTAGGCTTTTAACTGAAGATTTACGATAAGTGCCAAAGCTGTGGGTTTATGTTTTAAAGGGACAACCCAATAAGTGTTCATGAGTTGACGATGTCATAACACATTTTCATATCTACGTGTTGCTGATGTCAAAATATGAACTGTATAGTCAATTCAACAGGTCTCAAAAGGCTTTTGTCTGTGAGCAAACACCACTATGAATTAGACAAAAATCACATCCTGCTTCAGTCTCACAATACGTTCACTCACCTGTGCCACTGCCTGAGGGGCTCCAGCAAACGTTGCAGCAGAGACGACGCTGACAGCTCCAGTCCCGTCAGCTGCTTCTAATTGATCGTCTGTCACCTGAACCACACGATAGGTCACCTGAGGACAGAGCAGAGAGTAAAAGTTTCAATGAGGCAGAGATCTCTCACACACACTCACACACACACACATGTTTAGATGTTTTGAAGGTTTTAAACCACAAAGTCAAAATGAAACCAGAAGTTCTTAACAAAAAAACAACTTCACCTGAGCACACAGTTTTTCACATTTACCTTCTCTACTGCTCACACCACAGTCACTCTTTTGGCTCTCATATACTCATTTCTTCTAACATTTATGTCACAACAGTCTCATTGTATAGTGCATGGTGATCCCTATCTCTCGTAAAAAAAACAAAGACCTTGATCTCAATGGGACTTCCTGAAAATGAAGCTTAACCAACTTACAATGAGAAAATAAATGTTGTGCAGGAGAGAGTATCTCCGTGCTCACCTGTCCTCCACTGTTCTCTGTGCGGAACTGGTACTGCACATTATGATCAGCAAACGCAGCCTGCGGGACGCCGGTGATGGTCACTGCAGTCTGCTCCTCCGTCCCCACCACCTCCCCTGCAACACACGGGTCAACATGTTTCAAATCTGTGACGCTACACCAGAGTCATAAAAAAACATTTGTGAGAGGATGCACTTCTGCAGAGGATGACCGCAGACATTCACACATGCACATATTTTACTCACAGTTCTAACAACAGATTATTTGCTTCACTTGTTAGAATTAGAAGAACCGAGGCTCCTACCTTCCTGTAGCTGCACTACCTCTTCTGTTTCCTGTTTGTCGTGACTGAAAACAAAAAGAGAAAACACAGATGAGTCCATTACAAGCCAACCCAACATGCACATTTCTCTGAAATAATAGTTATAATTCATCTTTATATGGAGAAATCTGTCATGACGAGTTGTGGATGAAGGGCGCCCCCAGGTGGCCATCTAAGGCCTTGACGGGTAAGACATAAATAAAGTGATAAATATCTGGCGTGCAAGCGTGACAGAAATCATGTTTTCCCCAACTTCCTTGAGGAAAATTGCCTTTAATTGACAATCAAAACTCCATGTCCAAGTGGTTTGATTAGCTGCAAATGACAAGACAAACTTCACAAATAGCTATAATACTTCTCCCACACCCCCTCCTAGTTTACATTAAGCATTTTAATCCTAAAAGAGCTGCATCAGGCACAGTAACAGCTCAGGGCAATTAGAGGTTCCACTAAAACACAGTTACAAATTTCTGCTGTGCATTACCTTTTCTTGTCAAGTAAATAAACAGTAATCGTGATGCTACACATTTGCAAAAGGGCGCACTGATTCTGCTGAAAATGTCTTTATGGGTGGGGAAACGTATCATCCCGGCAAGCTGCGCAGACACTGATACAACCAGAAGGTAAAAACGAAACAACACACAAATATTAAAAGTATCTGGGGCATGCAGGTTATTAACAGATGATTGCTCTGCAAGGGGAAAAAAGGGTTTTAGGCCGTGGTAGGGGCCATGGCTGAGCAGGAAGCGGGCAGCAGCCTCTCACCTCGCCGAGCTGTCCAGACTCTGCTCCAGCATATCCATGAAGGTTTTGCGGTTGTAAAACGCCGATATTCAACGACACTGATTTACGGAGATGGAAGTGCAGATCACGGGGACAAACACACGGGTCATGTGAGGAAGACAGTCCAGGACACGTGAGGCACAAACCGGGCAAGGAGCTAAAATGGAGGCCGCTGCTGAGCAGGACGGAGCAGTCTGAGTCTGTGCGGAAAACAAAAAAAAAATAGTCCGGGCTTTTACGCAGCTTCGCGGAGATGGTGGTGCTCCAGACGGAGGGGTTAAGATCGTTAAAGTATTTTAGATCAACTGCTGGATGCACGGATGGAAGGTCATTTCCTTGTAAATTGTTCTTTGGGAATCTTTTTCTCCTTGGTTTCCTTTTTGTTGCTCTTCCGCACACAGCTGCAGTTTATCCGCGCAAAGCTTCGGGCTGCGACATGCGCTCAATAAGATATGGAGTGGACTAGTTAGTACATTTTGTTATGTGATGAAATTGATGTGTTTTTTAAACTGTATTAGTTGCTCTCCGTTTGTAAGATTTCGGATATTGTAACCTAGTATTCACGTGACTCTTCGGATGCAAAGAGTTTGGTGGTTAGAGACGTGTCTTTTGTTGGTTTCTTTTTGAATTAAAACTCGTATATGCGTGGATAATTTGCCTTGAGCTTTTGAGACAATGTTGGATGTATGTATGTTTTGCAGGCGATCACATTCATCTGTGTCGCGTTTATCTAACAGACACGCGCTGACAATAAGCTCGTCTACAGCACTTTTTCAGTTTCTTTGCCCAGGTGACCGCAGAGATCCAATACGGGTTTTCCCACAAACCACATGACAAAAAATGTCCATGTTGTACCGCAAACCGACGCACAGCGCTCACACGCTGCTCATAATTCACGGTTCTATGTCATATTTGACAGCTAGTACCAATTTTTATTTTTAAAATTAGATGGAAGACTGAGTTGGAGAACAGTTAAATTGGATCATGTTGTCTTTTTGCAGTCAATGTCAACCTTTGCATCAAATTCAGCCAGTGGGAGGCGATGGTGGATCTGTCAGCAGGCACGATGTCCTCAGCCGAAAATAGAGCGAAGGATTTAACTCACCACTGAGACCTAACCCCACCCCTTGCTGGGAACATTATTTAATAAAATTTACAAATTAAGGTTTTTAATTAACATCTGAGTTTCATTGTATTTTCTTTTGACGACAGTGAGACTTTCCATTACATGAGCTGCATGGTGAACAACGAGCTTTAAAATGATTAATCAGGACTCGAATCAGTTTTAGTGTGTGTGTGTGTGTTTATTTTATATATAAATATAATCATATTGTTATATAATACAAGCAAACCAAGCAGATAACAGTGCATCTTATACACAACAGAATATGACAGTAACCTGGGGGTCAACATCCCTCAAGGGGTCGCAACATAAATAAAAGACAGAAAGATAAATAACTATAATACATAAAATAAATGTAAATTAATTTTGTATAACAGTTTAACGTCTTCAGGTCCATGGAAATCCACTCAAATAAAACAATACAGTGGTGCCCTTCTAATCAAGGAGCTTAAGGCATCACAATGTCACAGATTTTGGCACATCATTCCCCATCTGTCTCTATCCTGGTGTCCTGTCTGTTCACTCCCAATAAAGGCATACATTGCCCCAAAAGAAAACAAATATATGAAGGAAAAATCTCTCCTGTCCACACAGAGATCAAAACCTGTGATGAGGATTCACAAGCACATGTTTTCTCATTTTAAGGGCTCACAAGCCAAAAAATTGGGAAGCACTGAGATGCAGAAACACACTTTCACAGCAGCAGGGTCCAACATATACAGTTACACATTTTAATAATTAACTGTGTTGGTCACTGATTACCAAAAACTGGGTGTTGATTGACATCAAAACTGATACACAACAAATAATTCCACATTGTCTGATGATATCCCATATGATCTGCATCGGCTTGTCCCAACTCCTCATTGAAGCCACACTATATGATGTTTAGAATGAGTGAAACACTCAAACCCAAAACTCCCTGATTTTTATGGCTGCACTCATTTCATCTAAATGGAAATATATGTTTTAGATGTCTGACCTTTTTCTTTGCTCACCAGCAGGCCAATTAGGTTTAAATGGATTAAACAATCCTTATGTAAGCACTAGTTTGCAAAAGAAAACCAGTAATACATTACTGGAGTCTGCTGTCTTTATCAAAGCTGTAGAAGTGTGTAAGAAACAAATTCCCCAAACTGAACTTACCTTTAATTGAAGAATAAGGAAGTCATTTAGCTTGGGTTATCCTGTGTCAGTAAGCATGAAAAGAGGCTCCAAGCTCTGAAAACTCTTATATAACGAGTTCATTTTAACTTAATGCAGAAGTATGAGCAGTATGGTTTAAATCAAACACTGTACATGAGTAGAACGGAACTCTCAGACAAGAGATCTGCTAAAAATGATCTGTTGTCACATGGCATTGTGTGTTTCTTTGAGTAGAGGGTGACTCATTCATTCAGACTGTACACCCATTACAGTGAGAGAGAGACACACAGAGAGAGAGAGAGGAACAACCACCTACCAGGAGCCAAACTTGAGGCCAACCTCTCTCCTCTCCTCCCATCTCATTCTTTCCTACATGGGCACTCGCAGATGGATTTGCAGACAGCGCAGTAACAGACTGAAGATTGTTGGAGAACTAAGAGGGACACTGATCATCAGATAACAAAGAAAATCAACATAGAAGTCTACGAATATCTTCGGAGCAGAGTTTTCTCTTCTTCTCACAAGCTTTAAAAGGTAAATATCAAAGTTGCCATCGTTTATACTGGGATATTTCTTTGATTTTGGGTGGAGTCGATAACCCCTCCCATGTCTTTTGATTAATTATACCCTTTGTCTTTTGTATGTTTATGCCACTGCACTCAAAAGAGTTTCTTAAACCTTTTCTTTTCAATTCTGAACTTGTAATTTATGACTTTGGTGTACTCCTAGGGATGTTCACAGATCCACACTTAATAGTAAAAATCTACTTTATGGATAAACTGGCATGTTTTTCGGGTTTATTTTTAATAATAATTGGTGAATGTTTAATGTAGATTTGTAGATTGAATGCAACTTTCTCCATCCTCTTATGTAAATATGTGAATATACACTATAATACAGTACAACCAGTATTTGCACATCAGAATACAAGATACATTTATTGAAAAACAAACTTTCAGAACAATTCAGTTGATAATTATATCTTTTTCTGGAAAGATAAGTTGCAGATAAGTGCAATGGCGACACCCAAAAACACTCCCAGAGGTGCAAACACACCAATATCCCCCAACCGTATCACCCGACTCCAGGAGAAGGAGGATCTGTCCAACCTCAATGATCGGCTGGCTGTCTACATCGACAAGGTGCGCTTTCTGGAGACCGAGAATGCCGGCCTCCGTCTGCGCATCACTGAGTCAGAGACAGAGGTCAGTCGGGAGCTGACGGGCCTGAAAGCCGCTTATGAGACCGAGCTGGCAGATGCCCGTCAGACTCTGGACTCTGTGGCCAAAGAGAGAGCACGTCTGCAGCTGGAGCTGGGCAAGCTCCGAGAAGACCACAAGGAGCTGAAAGCAAGGTGGGGTGCAGCACATCACTCTGGTCCAAGTCTAAAACTGAAAGCGTTTTCTGTAGTGTTTTCTATGTATGCCTGTGTGTGCAGGGGTGCTGTTAGTGGCGATAAAGAGAGAATATTTTCAAACAGTGATAAATGACATTGATTAGGGATAGGGTCGGGGGTGTTTTTAGGGGCGTCTCATAGGGGCACATAAGTGGCCCTGAATTCCCATGTGTGCTTGTGAGATGTAGTTTCTTCACAATTAAAGTGAGACTATGTAACTGTTAAAAGATTAAATGACATTCATAATATTCCCCTTATAAATGGAAAGTTCAAAACATTCTCAGTTTTGCTGTTACAGCCTCACTAATAGCTAATAGTGGCTAATGTTAACAAACTTTATATAAATGTTGCTGTGTAATTGACGTTACTGAATCAGTGTGCTGTCATTATGACTCCTTTCTAATTGTTCTATTGTTACACTGTCTTTTAGCATTTACAAGTATCCCAAAATTCAGCTAAAGTAACATAGTCTAGCTTTAATGTCAGAATTAACACATTTTCTTGGAAAGCACTTAGGCTACATTAGGCCTATAACTAGACAACATTATTTCTGCTTCATTTGTTAACACACAATTCAAAAATCCACATCAGCCTTTAAATCTAAATGAAATTCAAAAATAAAACACATCAGCCCTTAAATCCAAATGAAAAGACACTACTGATCCAGCTATTGTGTTTATCTGATAATCATGAGACACAACAGCTGCTCTGAGGCCTTTGAAACCCCCCTTTTTAATCCATTTTATCAGTTAAAGGCATCCATTTGTCTGTTAATGCATGAGTGAGAGGGATTTGTGATTGCAGTGTTAATATCTGAAACATGTCTGTCTGCATGTGATCCACAGCAGCAGAACGCACTTACTCATTAGCTCTCAATAGCTGACGCTTGTAAAACTTTTGCCGACACTGTAGGAGCAACATTGCCCTGCTGCCGGGGCCACTCCCTAGCTTTAGCATACCCTCCTTGTTGCTCACTGCAGTTTTGACGTTGGACCTCTACACCAACTTCTTCCCATGCTGCCACATCCAGAGCCTGATGACTAACTCTTTCCCCAGATGCTCCTCCTTCACCAAAGTAATCATTATACACACAATACGTGGCAGTGTTTAGAGAGCTCCACTCTTGCTGCCATTATATTTCCATAAATACTGAGACTACGGATGTCTTGTGTTTGGCAAAGCCAAGTTGTTGCCATGGCAGCACCTCAGCTAAACACCAACGGCTGTGGTTTGTGGCTACCAGATACGTGGGATTGGACAAAGATTGTTCTGGTCTATGACTCATATGCACCGAGGTCTTTCCCCAGTTTCTATTTCATCTTGGCTACATCCTCATTCAAAAATAGCTCATATTTGTTTAATTAGACTGTGTAAAGGAAACCATAGTAATTCTGTTTGCACTTGGTTCTTAAGTTACAAAGCAAAATGCATGTCTATTTACTGGAAAATCCTCTATCAATACGAGAAACACATCCAGAAAAATGCAGCTCAACATCTGAGACTCTTTTTGTCTTTACAGGAACACCAAAAAGGAGTCAGACTTGGCCGGAGCGTTGCAGAGGCTCAAAGACCTGGAGGCTCTGCTGAACTCAAAGGATGCATCTTTGACTACGGCTCTGGGAGAGAAGCGTAACCTTGAGGTGGAGAACAGGGACCTGAAGGCGCAGGTTGCCAAGGTAAACTCAAACCCACGCTTAATTTAAAACTCAGTGGAAACACATCTGGGGTCAATCTGCAGCTAGCCTCACCAACTCTTAGTCTGTCCCTCACAAACGTCTGTGTTTTACACTATGTGATAATAAATGTCAGCTTATCAAAGACCAACTCTAGTTTTGCCTTTACCACTAGCTATTTATATTTGAGTTTTTCCAGTGGTTTTGAAAGGGCCTCGAATTTGATATTTATGTGTGTCTGTGTGAGCAAAATTTCCTGACTTCAGCTGGGAAAACTTTCTGTCATGGCTGCAAAAGCTCAGACATTTTGATTAAAGAACAGTCTTCCTACTCTCCAGCCCTCCAATTGTATTTATGTCATATTTCTGCACTCTGTGGCATGTTTATGTGAATGTTTGTACTTTGCTTTGTACTAATATTCAGTCCCTGCTGTGCTTTCTCAGCTGGACACCAGTTTGGGCGATGCCAAGAAGAAGCTGCAGGATGAGATGCTGAGGAGGGTGGACGGAGAGAATCGCATTCAGACCCTCAAAGAGGAGCTGGAGTTTCAGAAGAACCTCCACTCTGAGGTCAGACTCTGTTCTTATCATCATCAATTTATGTTTTAAAATTTAAAAAACCCTCTCTCAACTTTTTTTTCTTTCATCACATCAGCATCCACCTGTTACTTAAACAAATCTGTATTTGTAGTTGGGGGTGAAAATTATTTTGTTGGAAATTCTCCTACAGGAACTGCGGGAGACAAAGCGTCGTCATGAGTCTCGCATGGTTGAATTGGACAATGGGCACCAGCAGGATTTTGAAAGCAAGTTGGCGGAGGCGCTGGTAGAGATGCGTAGCCAGCACGAACTGCAGATCCAAATGTACAAGGATGAGATTGAGAAGACCTACAATGCCAAGGTAGACCATCAATTTAATGTTAATATATGGCAAAAAAAAGAACTGGGAAGGAAGAGAGGATAGCTTTACAATACTTGTTTTCTATTGTGGTCTTCAGTGGAAGAGAAAATATTAGTAAGATATGAATGGATCAAACTGTTTTGGTGGACAGTTTTGATTTGCAGCTGGCATGCAGTTTCACAACCTGTACTAATGGCTCTAAATGAGAATCACAATGCAATTTGATAATGTTATTCATTTTGTACCTTGTTGTTTCTTTCTGTCAGCTGGATAATGCTCGTCAGTCAGCGGACAGGAGCAGCCACCTGGTTGGAGCAGCACATGAGGAGCTCCAGCAGACACGAATCCGCCTGGAGTCCATGTCCTCTCAGCTCAGCCAGCTGCAGAAACAGGTGATCTGAAATGACCTGCTCGCACTGATCGCATTCAGGGTCTTATGCAGAATGTTTGTATGATTAATGCATTGCATCATTATGAACATGTCCCTTTTAAAGGTTTATAGCAAAATGGGCATTATTTTACGTTTCAAAACATAAGATCTGTTTATAGATACAAAAGTTAATTAAGTTAATTTAATAGTTCAAATGTGTTGATTTTTTGGCCTTTTCTGTTTTCTGTACAAATAAACACTTTTCACTTTTCACCATTGCCTGAGTTTAATAAAAGTGACATGCTCATTATGTGGCCAAATGTAACTTGGCTGTCATCTTCATCCAAAATTACATTGATAATTACTTTACATTATTTTCATGGCATGGTCATCCAATATTTGTAGGGGGTGAACAGCCCCTCCTGTTAGATACCTATTTTTAGACTTATCTGTCTAATTTTGACCTAACAATAACTTGGTGATTCCTCTGATCCAGCTGGCGGCCCGTGAGGCAAAGGTAAGGGACCTGGAGGATGCACTGTCTCGGGAGCGGGACACCACACGTCGCATGCTCAGTGAGAAAGACAGAGAAATGGCAGAAATGAGGCAGCAAATGCAACAGCAGCTGGATGAGTACCAGGAGCTCCTGGATGTCAAGTTGGCTCTGGATATGGAGATATGCGCTTACAGGAAGCTGCTGGAGGGAGAGGAACAGAGGTATGTTGGGCTTAAGATGAATGTTGTCCCTAGTCTCTCAATAAAATAAGAGTTTTGCTGTAACCCCTGTGCCTTTCAAACTTTTTTTTTTTTACCCCTGTTTAAAGAACATCATCATATTTTTCCCTCCAGACTGCGTCTCTCCCCCAGTCCTCCACCCACCAAAGTGACAGGAAGTCGTTCCTCTACTTCAGGAGCTCACTCTCGATCGGTCCACTGCAGCTCTCTGAGCTCTCCTGGCAAGAGGCGACGTCCCAATGACACAGACAGTGAGGCTTCGAGCTTTGCAGGTGGAGCTGTGGCCCGCACTCGCATCACCCAGCAGGCCTCAGCAAGTGGACGGGTCACTGTGGACGAGGTGGACCTGGAAGGGAAATATGTCAGACTCAGCAACAAAGCAGATGAGGTGAGAAGATGAATTAAATGGTAAATGGTAAAGTGGTGGAAACCAGTAGGCCTAGCTCTTTCTGCTGCAGCTGCTCACTGTGTGGTTGGTCAACACCAGCATGTTGTCTACAGTTTTTACGACATTATATTACACATTATTGGTCACCCTCATGTGAAGCCATAGATACACAGTTGCAGCGTTACAAAGCCATATGAATTCATTATCTGCTGAGGGAGAATAATACTTGCTCCAAGGGATCTGACACTATTGTTTTTTATCCAACCATCAGGATCAGAATTTGGGGAACTGGCAGATGAAGCGCCAGGTGGGATCCGGTGCCCCCATCATCTTCAAGTTCCCGGTAAAATTCACCTTGAAGGCCGGCCAGAGGGTCACAGTAAGCAGAACCTTTGCTCAGCAGAATCACAAATCAGCGCAGTGATAGAAGACAGTTACAGAAACCTCACCCTACTGTACCTTTAGATCTGGGCCTCTGGTGCTGGTGTAACCCACAATCCTCCATCTGACCTGGTGTGGAAGACTCAGGCCTCTTGGGGCACTGGAGACGTGTTCCAGACCACCCTAATCAGTGCCAACGGAGAGGTAATATACATTTACCAGTCAAACGTATTGTATTTTATGGAGACTTTAGTCTAAAGTCTAAAGTACAATGATTACATTAAGTTTTATTATTCTGTGCACTGATCTTAAAATATAATACTTTTTCTCCAGGAAATGGCAATGAGGAAGGTCACCCGCACACAGTTTGAAGAAGAGGATGATGACATGGTGAGAGAACATAATGTATATCCGCATGACACACACATCTGCAGGACCAACACACATCTGCAGGACCAAAGGGCAGGTAGCAGCTAAATGGTGCAAGTGTTCATTGAATTAGACCCACAAAAACAAACAGCTGCTTTTCAGCACCCAGAAATATTAAATTAGCCATTGTAACACTGCTAAACAGTCAATCTGAGTGCTTGGGGTAGAAAAATAGGTAGAGATTGTCCTATTAAGTCAAAGTAATGCTAATATTGGACACATGCACTGACACGATGCAGAAACATATAAACAATATGTAATCAGATGTTGATTTCTTTGTACATTCTTGCCCTACAATGGTCTGAAAGAGTGGAACAACAACCAGATATGAGGAAAACTGAATAATTTTTTAGCACAATAAAATTTTATAATTATCAAAAATATCTGTAAATAATTATTAATAATTTTGTGTATAAAATGTAAGAAAATTGTGAAAAATGACATGTTCGTTTTGCTTGTTTTGTAAGATCCACAGTCCAAAACCCGAAGATAGTCAAAGAAAAACAGCAAATTTACAACCAGGAAAAACTTGACATTTTTGCTTGAAAAATGTATTAAATGATTTATCAAATATAAAAATAGTTGCTGATGTATCTTCTGTTGATCAACTAATTTAGCAAAGAATTTTTTTGAGGCTCTCACCCTCTTTGAGTTTTCACCATGGGATTACAATCAAACATGAGTCTTATTAGCAGATTTTCAGTGTGTTTCTGTTAAATGCTTTAATATTTTGTACTGAATCTGTCTCTTTGCCTCAACAGGTGGCTCACAGCACCTGTGGGGACAGCGAGTACAACCTGCGGAGCCGCACGGTGCTATGCGGCTCCTGTGGACTGCCTTCAGACAAATCCAGCAACTGCTCCGTGACCTCAGGCTCCCGCTCCTTCCGCAGCGGAGGCATCTCCGAGGGTTTACTGCCGCACTCCTACGTGTTCAGCAGCAGCACTCCTCGCAAGGTGGGCACTGCAACACATACAGCTGATTTTCTTCTTTTTAGACTTTTTAAAGCAACAATTATAAAGCAAATAAATACTCCAGCTTCTCTGAAGAATGCATGTTTTTCTGTATGTAAAGATCAAAGTGTTAATTTGAAAATCTTTCTGTCTTTACTTTAAATTGATTTGTTTGTGATGATAGTAACTTTATCAATCCTTCCTCTTAGACTGGAGCCAGGATGGAGAGCTGTCCAATTATGTGAGCCCCTGGACCCATGCTGAAACATTTCAGTTCTATTAGGTCTCAGTTATTAGTTCTTTAGTTACCAGTTGTAGTTATTAAGTTCAATTCACGTACTTTGGAATCATTTTAAAGATATCATATGCAATAAATCTTTATTTAGCTTTTTTTTATAATGTACATAGGCATGCATTGAAATATTTTCTTGATTTTAAATGGTGATTAAAGCAGTTAATTCTGGTAACACTAAGGGTTGGAAATTTATACCTGGCTTCCACCTAGTAAAATATGAACCTACCAGTTACTTTAAGTACTTACAACAGCAGTTTTTTGGCTCATTCATTCGGCAAACCTTACTTACTGGTAAAACAAATAAAAGTTGGTGATATCAACAGCTACTGTTGCTGGTAGAAAAAAGCATACTTCCTTGTTAACTACCACAGTTAAATCATATTTTCATTACATTCCGCAAACATACTGGTGCAACAGCGTTGCAGTAAACGCATTTATATTTACATTTATTTTGAATAGAATTTACTTAAAGGAAGTTGACCCCAACCTTTCTACAGATCAACAGAATATTGTTAATTTTTCCCGATATCAATAAACACATTTTCTGAATTCTGCCTTGTTTGTCTCCTTCAACAATAATCAGAATCAGAACGAGCTTTGTTTCCAGGTAGTATTTTACATGAACAAGGATGGTGATTAGGTGGTATGGTACGGCTACCATTAAGTACTTTCAATATTTTTGCCGTCTTACCGTGGCATAGAAATATTATAATGTGTAGGCTTTTTTAATTTTGGGGTAAAATCTCACTGACCAACTGTAGCTGTTTGACTGTGATTAATTTGCACAGATGGTCTGAGACAACAAATAGTTTTTAATTTTACTGTATATTTAAAACCATTAATAGTTAATACATCAACACGAAAACATGTTTACTTCAGATTATTGTATTTATACACTAACTTCTTTCAAAACCAGAGGAATCAAAGTTAAATATTTTCACTTTTACCGTTGTCAATCACATAGCCTAATTACTTTATTTAGAAAGGGTTTATAGTGATAGATACCACATTTACTTCAGTACTGCACTTAAGTCCCATTTTAAGGTACTTGTGCTTTACTTGTCTTTTCATTTTATTGAGCTTTATACTTCTACTACAATCTGCCAGCTATAGTTTACAGATTAAGATTTAGCTAAAACATTAAAATGTGTCTTAAATGTTAATTTAACAATAATGTTATTCCAATAATATGATAATATATACATATATATATTCACACACTGTCCATTTTAGTAATAAAGAGTAATAATTACAACCTGGTGAAGTACCTAACTTCCTCCAGATGTTCCAGGAAGCAGACATTTATTTTGAAATTAGAGCAAGGTTTTTATTTTTTCCAATACCGGAAGTGGGTGACACAGTTGGGCTGCAAGTGTTGTCGTACTGCTCCTGCCTCTTTAGCTGGATATTATTGATCTGTAAGTTGTGTCACTGCATTGTTTAAAAGGGCAAATGTGCATTTGAAGTTGTTTTCAAGAAAGGCGTGTTAACATTTGGTGAGTTTCATTAATAGTTTGTCGCAAAGTAAAAGCTCTTTAGCAATCGCTGAACGTTAGCTAACAACTCACAATTTAACTCTAAAAGTTATCCACAGACACTTTAACAGGGTAGACTGCAGCTGAAGTACAGCTTTCTGTGTTTTAAGTCAAACGTTTATACACTATAAACCTCTTTCATTAACATGCTTGACTCTTACTGTCATGTCCACCAAGGGCAAGTTAGCTAACGTTAGCTTAGTCGTTTTCTGCTGAAGTACATTAACGTAAAGGCTGAGTGAGCTGTGTGGATCAGACAAAATAAAGATTATCTCCTAAAATAAAATCAGCATGGAGTGTATTGTGCACAATCATCTACTAAAGAGTAATTAAGTTTGTGTTAATTCAATAGAGCTGCATGTGAGAAAGTAAAACTAGTTTTCAAATTGTGTATTTTATTTTTGTGTTGAAATTAGACAACAGAATTGTTAATTGTTTTGTCCTGATATTAGTACCTGAAACTGAAAAGATTGCTAGATAAAAAAGATGAAGAAGTTAATTGACTGACAAAAATGCTAATATTAAACAGTTATTAAAAAATCACCAAATATTCTAAATATCTAATACGTAAAATTTGTGTGCTTTCTCAGTCAATGTCAGGGTTTTGGATTTTGGACTTTCAACTAACAATTTTTTATCAATTCATTGATTTAATCTGTAAAATATGAAACAGTCCTCTGCAAAACAGTTTTGCAGAGGAGTTTACGTTAAAAAATTTCAAATTGCTTCTTTGTCTGACTAATAGTCCAAACCTAAAGATATTCCATTTACAGTTATATAAAACAAAGAAAAGTAGTAAATCCTCACATCTGAACGGCTGGAAAAGGTAAATGTTTGCTATTTTTGCTTGATAAATTGACTAATTGATTGATTCAGTGATCTTTTTATCATTAGAAAAAAAAATTTAACTTGGGCTCTGGGAAATTATAGACTAATGAATGTTTTCTTTTATTTTCTCACACTTTATGAATCAACAGATTCATCAATAAAATAATCAACAGATATATACATAATAAGTGTAATAATTAGTTGCCTCCCTGCTTGGTACGGTCACTTCAGTGCAGTATGATGCTGTTTGATTATTCAGACCCTATTTTTAGGTTCAGACTAATGTATTAAAGTGCAAAGTTTATAGAAAAATGTAAAACGCAATTTACTTTGGCATCAAGAATCTTTGTGTCATCTTATCCTATAAAGCATACTGAACAGGAGCTGAGAGCACAGAGAGGATCGATGCAAATCCCCTTCAGGGACAGTGAGTACGCAGCCTGCAGGTGAGTGGAGTGGGCAAAGAAAAATCCAAGCAAGCAGCGAAAGCAATGTAGCAACTGTAAGAGGCAGTGGCATCAGCAGACTGAGCTGCAGAGCTTTCATTAGTGGGAAATGTACTTCAACACTGGAGTTGTCTGAACCATGGCTCACAGGCTTTGCATCCTGTAAAAGTTTCTCATTTTGGCTCTACAGTTCTATCAGTTCATTAATTCATGGGATCGATGTGGAGAGTAACTTCCCTCAGCACACAGTAGGTCGCTGTGGTCTCTTCTGTTCCAGGACTTTGGGTCCATCTGGATGTTGAGTGTGCGGGCTCTGTTTGGGATCGGCTTCCTGGTGACCTCAAGGGCCCCGGCAGTCCTTGCTCAGACAGGGGCATGTCCGCTGTTCGCTGCAACTAACAATCACAAGTACTGTTTCAGTAGCAGACCAGCATCCACCATGGCCCAGACCATCAAATATCTCGGGTGAACTTATAAATCTTACACACACAGAACAGTAAAACCATTTACAGAATGTAGTTGTGTAGACTATCTGAACTTACCTGTAGATGCTCCTCAGGCAGGAGGAGGCCCAACACATTGATGAGGAGCTCTTCAGTGAGTACGGCTTCAGTGTGGACCAGCTGATGGAGCTGGCGGGACTCAGCTGTGCCACAGCCATCGCCAGGGTGAGCTGTCAATCAAGTAGGGCTGCAACTAAAGATTATTTTTATTGTCCATTAATCTGTCAGCTATTTTCTTGATTAATCGATTTGTTGTTTCATCTCAAAATGTCTTGTTTTGTCTACAACCCAAACATATTTAGTTTACTGTCACAGAGAAGTAAAGAAACTAGAAAATATAAACATTTATAAAGTCCAAATCAGGGAATATGGACTTTTTTGTCTTAAAAATTACTCAAAATAGTTGCAGATTAATTTAATAGTTGACAACTAATTGCTTAGTTGTTGCAGCTCTTAAATTAAGGCTCTTATTTCGAAATAAAAATGTCTAGACTATTGCACACCAAAAATAAAAACATAGCAATATATTTAAATATGATAGAATTATTAAAGTGAAGTAGAATAGATAAAAACAATAAAATAGATAAAAGACATCAAAACAACAACCATAGAAACCACTCTGGTATTATAATTGATTAAATTTAATTAAATACAGTGGGGTTTTATTGGCATGGGAAACAGAGGTTTACATTGTCAAAACAAGTGTGAACTAAACACAAGAAGAATTGTGCTATACATGTATTTGGTGTGTGTGTGTGTGTGTGTGTGTGTGTACACTGATAAAGTTTAAAAAAACAAATAGCTTAGAACTATATAAACTTCAACATTTTGTTATATTTATGAATGTAATGTGTGTTCCCGGCTGTATGATTATTGTCAACACTTTACAGCCCTAAATACCTGTTAGATATCAGATATATTCGGTTTCTCCACCAAATGTCTAGCTGTGTTACCAGTTTTGGGTTTACAGAATATGTATACGTCTAAATCAGGTTACTGCCTGAAGAGGGGAATAATCTGATTACTCTGTCTTTTGACTGTACATCACTACAAGCATTTCTCTTGAGAAGCTGCTCTAAAGAAAATCCTCTCTTCCTTGTCAAAGTGCAGTGCTGTATAGATTTTTTCTGTCTGTTTTTTTCCTGCAGGCGTATCCAGTTACTTCCCTGGTCAAGGCCAGACCTTCTCTGCTGGTGATTTGTGGACCAGGTAACAACGGAGGCGATGGCCTGGTCTGTGCCAGACATCTTAAACTCTTTGTGAGTGTCCTTTACTTGTGTAATAGTGAGATACTCTGCAGCAGTGGTTGAAAGTAACTAAGTACATTTCCTCAGGTATTTTAGTACAGTTTTAAGGTACTTCACTTGAGTATTCCTATTTTATGGTGTATTATATTATTATTATATATATATATTACTCCACTACATTTCAGAGAAAAATATTGTACACTACATTTATGTAACAGTTACTTTCTGTACTGGTTTTTATACAAAAAATATGAGCTTCTAAAACTTCTTCTGATTAAAGTATTTCAGTCTGCAGTGAAGTCCTTAAAATAATAAAAGCCTGCCAGCGTAGTAGGAATATTACAACCTGTTTTGAATGCAAATCAGCTGCACTGCAAGACAATGTTTCATGGACTCAATTATGGACAGAAATGTCAAGGATCTATAGGATTGAGGTTTTTGCACAATAAACTTATGAACACTTTTTGAAGTAGTTAAAATAATTTTCACCTTAATCAGCTACACCAAAAATCAGTCGGTGATAATAATACCACAATATACTGTAAATAACACTCTAGAATGGGCCATTTGGCATAACAAGTACTTTTACTTTTGTTACTTGACATTTTGCTGATAAAATGTTTGTTCTTTTACTTAAGTGAGATTTTCTAATGGAGTATTTTTACATTGGGATATTAATACTTTTACTGAAGACAATTTAAGGACAGTCTTTGCTAAATGAAACCTCACTGGCATCTTTGAACCAATCTCAGGGCATTCTTTACCCAAAACTGCTTTATCAAACCCTTGGGTCTGTCAATTTTCAGACTATAATTATTTATTTCTACCACTTGGTGCCCTCTTGCAGGGTTACGAGCCCGCCATCTTGTACCCGAAGAGGACAAACAAACCTCTGTTCCAGGGCCTGACCACACAGTGCCAGAAAATGGAGATCCCCTTCCTGACTGAGATGCCTGAGGTTTGGTGTACATTAAATATGCAGCAGCGTTATCTACAGTGGTGCAGAAAATTACGTTTGAGTGTGCATTTTATAACGATCTGTACAAGTACATTATTAGATTATTAGATCTTGCTAAATGGATGCTACATGAGGCTTTAATTAACCCCTGTGGAGGAATTACAGTTAATGTTTTGTTTTTTTGCAACAGATCAATCAGAAATCTACATCAAATCAAGTGTGTCATATACACAATCATACATACGCACAACCAAGAACAGTCAATAATATAATTAGTAACTAATGATTCAGGATTTTTGGCTTTACTGCTGTTTTTAAGTTAGAGATCTGCAATTTATAACACATTTTGAGTATTTTGACACATGAACATTGTGAAGAGGTAGATGTGTGTTGGTCTTTGGAGGAAACAAGAAAGAAAAACAATTTATGTGGAAAAAATTCATTTCACAGGCTAAAATGATCGATGAGGCTTACAACCTAGTGATAGACGCCATCTTCGGCTTCAGCTTCAAGGGGGCTGTGCGAGAGCCTTTTGGTTCCATCCTTGGCGTGCTGAAGAAGACGACAGTCCCCATAGCCAGCATCGACATCCCCTCAGGTCAGTCCGCACACAAAAAATATTGTATTTGCACGAAAGAAAAATGTACTTCCTACCATGTTGGTGAATGGTAATATCCTGAAATGTGCTGCCCAACAGATTGATACACAGTACTATTGTCAACTGCTTGGCTTGTAGTAGATACAAGATTATTTACAAAATTCCACATTTTACTACCTGCATATTGGTTGTTGTGGGAAATATAAGAATTTAAACTTGTGTCATTGTTTAAATGTATTCTGCTCAACAATACAATTTCCAATGAATTGTATGTAAATTACGCAGTGGCAAAAATGCATAAATGCTGACATTAAAAAATCTAGTGTCTAAGATATGTGTGTAGCATGAAGGGCCCACAACATTTCATTGTGCAACCCTGTGTGACAAATAATTGAGCTTGATTGATTGACTGATGAAATGTACAGGAAATGTGGTCCATTTTTAAAATGTATTTTATTTGGTGAGTGGAATCTTTCAATAATAGTAGGTTGCAGTGGTGGAGGGGGATTGATTTTATACGATTGATTAAATTCATCTGTGTGAGCAAGATAGAGTATGTTGAAAGTCAATCACTGAATGTGCATGCTCCCAAAAGGAAAAGCCCTATTGAACAGTGGAACAAACCTTATGTAACCAAGATATCTTGAAAACTAATGGCCTGATTGTCATTACCTCTTGTATATTCACTTACAAGAATAAGAGGAAGGCTGGAGTCAATTGTGACATCCTGTTTGTTTTTTAAAGGTTGGGATGTGGAGCAGGGCAGTGCTGATGGACTGCAGCCCGACATGCTCATCTCTCTCACTGCTCCCAAGAAGTCTGCCTCCCTGTTCAGAGGACGATACCACTTCCTGGGAGGTCGGTTTGTGCCACCAGGCTTAGAGAGGAAGTACCAACTCAACCTGCCTCAGTATCCCGGCACGGACTGTGTGTTACAACTGTAGAGGATAATGTAGGTTTGATGAGGGGTTTCAGTGGCTCCAGGAATAGCGTCGACTTTAAAGGAATAGTTCTGCCTTTTGCCTTCCAAGTGATAGACAAGAAGATCGATACCACTGTCATGTCTGTGTGATGAATACGTGGTGGAAGTCTGGAGGCAAATTAAGGGTTAACAGCTAGACTGGCTCTGTTCGAAGTTGGAAAAAATGCCTATCTGCACCTCTAAAGCTCACAGATGAACACGTACCTCGTCAGTTACAATGTCTTGGCAGAAAAATATCTGGGCCCAGTTATCAATGAGTTTTACCATCAGTGAGGTTGCCAGATATGGTACCGTCATGCCTGTACAAAGACATACTTAAAGCCTATGTTCATTATATGTATGTGGCAACCCACAAGACTGAGATGCTGCACTGAATTACTGTGTTCCTCAAGAACTAATGGCTGGACATGAATCCCCCTATTACAACAAATTACCGTTTTTACATTTTTATATGTGTACAGATAGAAAATAATGAATTATTTTATAATTAATTATTTAGTGAGCGTTAGAGGAGCTTGTATGCTTGAACGTCGGCTTGACTGCCACCAGTCGTCATGCTAAGCTATGCTAATCACATCCCGACTCCAGTTCTTTACTTTACACACAGACATGAGAGTAGAATCTATGCTCTACACTTATCCTTAAATGTATTTCCCTAAATGTTAAACTATTCCTTTAAATCTGGGACTTTGATTGGTTTCCATTGAGTGGATGATGTTTGGTGTAATCCTAAGGCTGTGCTGTAAAGCCAATAAGGTGTTGTAATAGTTTTCTTCATGTGAAAACACAACACTTTAACAACATGAAAATAAAATCTAAATGAGTGGAAGTCTGCATTGTTATTATTCTCTAAAAACACCATCCTCTTCAACTCCCTAAAATATTTATGAGAAAAGTCAGCAAAATCTCTATAGTGACGTGAGTTTTTCTACCAACAACAGAAGACTTCGCCATCATGTAGTTTTTCAGTTTTTATTAGCACTTAAGTATTAGTATTTATTAGTATCTTAACATTTCATTGAATTTACAACTAGCAAGTGGAAAGACAATCTATCAGTCCATCACATTCTAGTTTAGAAATATCTTTACCATACATGTAGTGTGCCTCATTATTTATACATTAAGTGGTGATGATGTAGTAAAAAGCTTTCTTTTACAATCCAACAGACCCCCATAGTACCACTTAACAGTTCATATAAATGTGACTAAATGCATTTAAAGAAATACTGAGTTAATGCTTTTGACATGTGGCTCATTAATGCATAATGGTTTCTCTTTAAGTGCAGAACATGCTTTTGCACGCAAAACACTATATACATTGCTGGTACCATGCTCTCTTCGTAAGTCATATCCATTTTGTGATCTTTGTCAAGGAAAAGGTAAAATAGAGATTTGAGATGAGGAGTTTTTCCCCCAAGCTGTCTACATGCAGGTCAGAGGGTGGATGGATGTTTTCAGTCCACGGAAGAAGCCTGAAGATAAAGACAACACGTATTAATGAATTTAATTATACTTATTCAATACTTTGTCAGCTTATCAATAAACACGAAGTTTGCAGTTTTTCAGTACACTTCACTAAAAATAATGAAGTCTAATATAACATCTCTGATATAAATCATAACTTCATAAAGGTTATAATATTCTGTTTGTGTTCAAACTGTTTAGAGAGGGGTTGATTCAACTTTGGTTATTTTTGAGGAAGTAGTTTACATTCAACTGAATTAAGGTATACTGACAGGTGTTTCTTTGAAGTCTACCCTCATTGATAAATGGCATGCACAAAATATTACACAAACATTTCAAAAACAAGAGCTGAACATCATAAAGCTACAATGTATTGTGTTAGACATTGGTTTTAGTACGGTGCATCTAAAGAAATGGCAACTTAATGTATGACAGCTTTTCAGTAAATGTGTTAGAATAAGGTCTGGGCATTCATTTTTATAGTTCAGATACTACAGATATAAGTTTTGGTACATTTCAAAATCGCAATTTCGAAACTCAAGTTAAAACAACTTTTCCCTAACATATGTGCACCAGTTTTCAGATCATCATTTTTAAGTTTTGAAACCTGAAAAACAAACTAAAAGTGCCAAATTTGAAACTCTGAAAATGTGCTGGGAGACAATGCAAAAAAGTAAAAAGAATTCAGAAGTTGTTAATAAGGAAACGCCAAATACAAATAATAGATTTGAATTTTGTTCATCACAAAAATCTTGCAAACCTCTTTTAATTAGAGTTCAAGCTTTAAAAACACCAAGTTTCAACCTTTCAAAGCTTTTCTCCCATAAGTTTCAAGATTTGGCATGATACACATCCCATAAAATGAGAGGATAGAGAGGTTAGAGGAATACTTGAACACTTGCTGAACGTTAGATAAGAAGATTGATACCACTCTCACATCTGTACAGTTAATATAAAGCTGAAGCAGCTTCTTAGCTTAGTTTAGCATCACCTGCATATCTCTTCTGCATAATCTGTACAAAAGTGTAAACTCTCAGCAAGGCACCAAATTTGCATTTCCCAAAATGTCAAACATTTCTTTAATACATTACATTAGAACCGGCAGTCTATACAGTCTAGAATTGGCAAAATGAGTATCTCAGTCATAATGTACCAAAGAATTAGTATAGTATATACGACTGTGAGCGTGTTTTCAATGCCAGCTTCTGTTCCTTGGACGTTTTATATACTCAGTGATACTGAATGGACATATCTTAATTAGGACCAAACAAGTACTGAGGTTTGATCCCCAGCCATAGTTATCAGTGTACCTGACATCTAACGATACAAAAAAATATATTACATTTCTTTAGTCTTTCTGAAGGAAACACAAATGACGAAAAAGAAGGTGACACTTAATTGAATGGTAGATACTTCACAGTGGAATACATTTTTACTTTGAGATCACAACATACCTGTGCTATTCTCCGACCTGCACTCCTGTGCAGTTATCTTTACTTTCGGAAGCTATCGCTAAATATTCAGCATTTCTAAAGGGGAAAAGAAAAAAACAACCCTTAGCGGTTATCAAGACGTTAAACATTTTACTTTAGCACAGTGAAATAGGTGAAAAAAAATACAACAACAAAGCATCACAGCTATGGTTGTATAACAAGTTCTTTGTTCCTTTTGTGACTTACAGGAGGGAGGTTTTGGTTTTGACTAGGGAGGAGGATGACAGGATGGGATGGACAAGACGGAAACATGACAAGTAGACACAGGGAGCATGAAATGTTAGACAAAATACACAAGTGAAAACACAAACATGATGAACACGTTGATAATCTTAAAAATAAGGAAGGTCAGAGGACAGGTATGGAGGAGAGAAATATGAACCAAGGAGAGGACGTAAAAAATTGTAGGTGTGACTTCAGCAATAGAACATGAATAAAGTCTGGCAGTATTCATGGGTAAGTACACACTTTTCAAAGCATAATTTACACACCAAATGTCTTAGTTTGGGAGTACAAGCCCAGTCTCAACAGAAAAAGTCAGCTGTGCAAAATATTTGCTTCTAGAAGATGAACTACTGCTGGAGAAATGCTAGTGCTAGTCGGTCACAATAGCTCACTAATCATATTTCAATTATCTTTCTTTATTCCCCTTAACATTTGGTTCTCCATACTGTATTTCATTCACTAAAGAGTTATTAAAGAGGTGACAAAAATGCTGCAAGCTTGTTAATTCACTCGCTAAGAGGACAAAAGGTTCACAGATTTATTAAAGTGACATATTTGTACCATCAACAACTGTCTCATTACTGTCCACTAACTATTCCTCTTTTGTAGAACAGGCAGACAGAGGAAGGTTTAAAGAAAAGGGGAGCTATTAAGCTAATAAGCTGGGGTCGCTTCCTTCAGTTTGGAAACCCTGTTTACACAAAGATCACCACTGTCAAGACAGCTTTCTATTGGTCAGTAGTGCAAATTTGCAAGTCCACAATATTAAACACTACACAAAAAAATGGTACAGATGTACTTTGCCTCCACGAGTAAATCAACAGATCACACTGATTCTATTGGAATTAATTGATTTTGCCACAAACTTTTGCTGTTTTAAATGCTTGTGTGACCGGGCCTTACCCAATATGTGTGTTGTTTCAAGCTTTACACGCAGTAGAGCTAGACCTCTATATTGATATCGGCATATATGCGGGCCAATCGGTATCAAAAAAGTTGTCTTTGAGGGAACTTAGAAACAGTGCTTCCAATATATTGTCTGTCCACCAGAGAGCACTGACAGATTTTTTCAATAATAAACTGACCTGCGTAAAAAGTTTTGCTAATTGGTGGATATATTGTTACTGGATATTTAAGACTCTATCTATCTATCTATATATATATATATATATCTTTGGTCTCTACAACACGCATACATTTATATGGTATATGGGTTTTAATGTTAGATGAAAACCTTGTATCACCGAAGTGTCTGCTTTTCAAGAGAAACACAGCATGTTTTAGTATAACCAGTAATTTTAGGCTCAAGATATTGAAAGTTTTGCATTAGTCAAAGAAAGAATCTTCTCATCTAAAAAAAAAAAAGGAGATACAAGGTTTTCACACGAGGAGCATATGTGCATACAGATAAGGAAAATACTCACGCTGCTTCTCGTAATGCTTCTTCCCCGGCTGCTGCTATTTTCCTGTAGCAGTATATCATCTCTATGAGGAGCCAGACCTGAAGGCCAATGATGGACACGTACATCATGACCTCGGACACGATGGACGCTGTTCCCCTGGTAGCTACACACAGGAAGCCAGGAAAATCAGGAAATCAGACAAACACAAAAGAGACAACCTGACATGCGAGCTGTAACTGCTTGAGTAATTTGTTATGTAAGATATCAGATAAATCCTCATCTACACATGATGGGGTTTCTTTCAGTGAGTAACAAAGATTCTGAATCGAGTATGTAGCTGCAACTCACATCTTTGACATTTTAAGAAAATTGTCTGTCAAAGATACAATCAGCTGTATTATATTCTTCCTGATTTCTTATTATGGAGGCGTCCCCTCTGGGATACTGTACGGGCTACCTGTGAATCATAGTCTCACGCTACATAACTCATTGTTTCAAGATAACTAATGGCTGTATTCTCACCATTACCTCCTGTACACATCTGCCACTAATTCTTTATACTAGAATATTGCAATTTGTGATGGAATGAAAATGATATTGCATGGCTACCTGAGGCCAAGAAAGACCTGCTTTTAGATGCTAGCTCAGTCCCACTCCTGCCCCAAAACCCTCACTCTATCCGCTCTGCTCGGTCACTTGGAGGGTTCACCATATTAAGGCCTGTTGAGTCAAAGCAGACAATAAAACCTGACAGCGAGTCTGCTGATTTGTCGTTCTCAAGCACTTCTCACTGGAAGTGCATGGTCTGGAAAAACGGACGAAACATGTACATTTATGTTCCGCTTGGTGCTTCTAAAACATCTTGGTAACTTCCCATATATTTCCCTTTTATGGTAAGTTTGGAAATGTAATGTAACTTTGACAGTAACATCTTTAACTTTTCCAGGGCATGTTCCTAAAATCCTGCTAGTTGTGATGCAAGTTGCGCTAATATCACAGACCAAATAGTTATAGAGCACTGCAGTTGACTTTGTCGTACCTTTAGCCACCACAGTGAGGTGGACCACCTTGTCAATACGAGTCTCGTACTCATAGTTAGCATAGATGAGGATGCGGTTGAAGAAGCAGCGGTAGGTGCCCGAGTCATTGAAGGTGACGTTGAGCAGGTATATGGACGCGTCCTGGATGTCGTTGCTCCTCTTACTTCCGTTCCAATCCACACGGTCCATAAAGTTGTCGTGTTC